TGGGTTCTCGCAGGTGTGGATGTGGTCTGGATGTTGTCCTGTGTCCTCTGGTCTTTCTTCTAGGAAGAGTTGTCTTTGTTATATTTTCATAGATATATGTGGTTTTGGGAGGAGATTTCCGCTGCTCTACTCACGCCGCCATCTTGGCTCCACCCCTTACCATTTTCTTTTTGTCTTCCAGCTGCTAGGCCAAGCAGCTCGAAACATGGTACTGCAGGAAGATGCCATCTTGCACTCAGAAGATGTAAGAACCAAGTTCTTTTATGATTTGGGTTTTATATACATAATTTGTGTGGCTACAGGAAAGTGGAATGTTCTGTTTCTCTGTTTTTTTTTTTAATGCAGAGCTTAAGGAAAATGGCAATAATAACAACACATCTTCAATACCAGTGAGTATGCCCTCTCTGGTGACTACTGGCTACAAAATCATTATCCTCAGGCAGCTCCTTGGTGCTTCTGGACTTCAGCACATTTTCCTGTAGAGGCAGAAGTTAGGAGAAGAGATGGGATTAGTCATCTGCTCTCGAAAAGATGCCTGAGACTGCAGAAGAAGTTAGAGAAGGGGGTGAGATTAGGAGCAGGGACCACTTTTTGTGAACCTCTCTATGTTAATAGAAGGTCTCCTCAGAGACAGAAACTGTAAACCCCATAAGGACAGGGCCCATTCCAGGACCATGTTAGCACAGTGCTTGGCACCCCATAGGCACTTAATTAGCGTTTATTGACTGTGAGGCCTCTCTTGAGGAGTCTGCTTCTTCACTAGGGAATCAGGTGTACTGTGACCTGATTTCTGCATTCCTGCATGTAACTCAGCCCTCGCTACATATAAATTATCCAGGGAATTTTGGAGTTTAGAGATCCCCTTCTCCATTAGAGTTTTAGAATAAATTATGATGTAATTACAATGTAATGTAATAAATTAATTTTTCATCTTCATGTTGCTTTATGTTTTATGTAGTTGGTATTATACTTATGTCTATATTGAAAATGTTAGGGAGTTTAACTCTTGATTTTTAAATAGCTAAATGTCCATTCTTTGGGTGTGTACATATCAGGTATGTGACCATTTGACTCCTCATACCCAGACTGAAATTGAGCTATGTATATAGTTTGTTGGACCAGCCCCTCACTCTGATAGAGTATTATTACATCTTTAGGTTTAGAATCCATCTTTTCAGCAACTCTACAATCAGATCTTCAATAGAAGTTCAATAGCACAATCTTAGGATAGGCTGGACAGAAATACAGAATGTAATACAAACTGGAAATTTGTTCTGCCTGTATCTATCTGGCCATAAGTAACTTACACAGTTTACTGAGTTTTCTTGTTTATTTTCTTCTTTCCCTTTCTGATTTAGGCAAGAAGCTATTCAGAAGAAGTAAGTAACCCCACAGTTAGGGAAGTGGGGGACCAACTAAAGCAGGCTGGGGAGAATTACACAGCTGGGCCTAGGATCAATGTGAGACGCTGGTTGACATATGCCATTGAATTGACATATCCTCTGGGATAGCTCATTCAGGATATAAAGAACAGTGTATTTCAAAGGCATGCAGTAAGTCAAATCACTGCAAGTAAAGGCTTTCCAAAAATTCCAGGGTGTGGAAGCCAACCTTAAGGAATAGAAAGTCTTTTACATTGGTAATACTCTTTAAGTAGAGTACATGTGTCCTAAAGTCATTCAACAGCCTTATTTTTTTTCCAGTGGATTAAATATGTCCCTTGAAATATTATTTACACTACTAATTGGCTTTACAAACCTTTTCTTCATAGTTTAAACACTTCTGGGACTCTAGTTGACCAATATGAATTTTGACTTAATTTCAACAGTACTTATGCATTAAAGTACAAATAGTACAAAGAGATGTTTTTATTGTTCATTCCAGATAAAACTTTCTCTTGATTCTAACTTCCAGTGTTGAGCAGTCTTCAGATCTGCAGGCCCAGCTGAACCATCTGTTGAAATAGAATGGCTTACACAAGGACAAAAGCACTTCTGTGCCTGACACTGAGGAGGAAGTACTTTGCTTGACCCTTGTGCTATAGGTTTGATTTTTCCATTTTCCTCTCTAAAAGTAGTTGGAAAGATTTGAATGAAGTACAGTTTATCCTGACAAGAAGCTAGGTGGCTGAAATCTGGAAGCAGTTAATTTGACTCCTCATACCCAGACTGAAATTGAGCTATGTATATAGTTTGTTGGACCAGCCCCTCACTCTGATAGAGTATTATTACATCTTTAGGTTTAGAATCCATCTTTTCAGCAACTCTACAATCAGATCTTCAATAGAAGTTCAATAGCACAATCTTAGGATAGGCTGGACAGAAATACAGAATGTAATACAAACTGGAAATTTGTTCTGCCTGTATCTATCTGGCCATAAGTAACTTACACAGTTTACTGAGTTTTCTTGTTTATTTTCTTCTTTCCCTTTCTGATTTAGGCAAGAAGCTATTCAGAAGAAGTAAGTAACCCCACAGTTAGGGAAGTGGGGGACCAACTAAAGCAGGCTGGGGAGAATTACACAGCTGGGCCTAGGATCAATGTGAGACGCTGGTTGACATATGCCATTGAATTGACATATCCTCTGGGATAGCTCATTCAGGATATAAAGAACAGTGTATTTCAAAGGCATGCAGTAAGTCAAATCACTGCAAGTAAAGGCTTTCCAAAAATTCCAGGGTGTGGAAGCCAACCTTAAGGAATAGAAAGTCTTTTACATTGGTAATACTCTTTAAGTAGAGTACATGTGTCCTAAAGTCATTCAACAGCCTTATTTTTTTTCCAGTGGATTAAATATGTCCCTTGAAATATTATTTACACTACTAATTGGCTTTACAAACCTTTTCTTCATAGTTTAAACACTTCTGGGACTCTAGTTGACCAATATGAATTTTGACTTAATTTCAACAGTACTTATGCATTAAAGTACAAATAGTACAAAGAGATGTTTTTATTGTTCATTCCAGATAAAACTTTCTCTTGATTCTAACTTCCAGTGTTGAGCAGTCTTCAGATCTGCAGGCCCAGCTGAACCATCTGTTGAAATAGAATGGCTTACACAAGGACAAAAGCACTTCTGTGCCTGACACTGAGGAGGAAGTACTTTGCTTGACCCTTGTGCTATAGGTTTGATTTTTCCATTTTCCTCTCTAAAAGTAGTTGGAAAGATTTGAATGAAGTACAGTTTATCCTGACAAGAAGCTAGGTGGCTGAAATCTGGAAGCAGTTCTTGAAACAAACTAACCCATACTCTTAATGACTTTTTAAGTTGCTCTGTTCAGTTTGATGGTGAAGCAAAATTAAAAGCTGTCTTAGTTTTTCCCATAGAAACTTACTTATTTTAAAATATATTTTTAATATGTCAAAAACCATGTTGTCTAAATGTGGTTCTTAGGCAAATTCTGAGTAATTTTTTAAATTCAGAAGTTGGGCTCCTGTTGTGAATACGTAGGAATGGTTAATACTTTTTAAAAAAATTTTTGTCTTTTTATCATACATTCCGGAAATATCTTAATTTCATGGTCACAGAATGGTGATAGGTAATATCTGTTCTGTTCTTTTCTACTAAATTAGAGGAGATAGTATTTTATTCATTGTAGCAAATCCTAAGTGAAAATTAGGCAAATTATATCATATCTGGCCAGCCAGCTGCAGCCTCCTGCCTTGACCTGCATTCCTAAGATTTCTTTGTTGTTCTGACTCTTGAGTAGGTGGCCTTGGCTTCACTTTGTAATTTTGCTAGTCATCAGCAAATTCACTTGTATGACATAATTGCCAGTATGAAGGCAGTTTAATTATTGTGAGTGATAGCAGTGTAGGATTGTACCATAGTGAATATCATATGTTTGTAGGTAGACATTTATCTGTGTTCATTGAATTCATCTTGTTAAATGGCATCACCATTGTCTGTGGTCATATCTGAATATCTTTACTTTGAATTTGAAATGGGACTCTATTCTGTTCTAGTTTAGTTCTTCATTTACTGATGGATTGGGAGAAAACTGACATAAAAAATGGTCTTTTCACTGAAAGAAAAAAAAGCAAATAAGAACCCAATTTAGTTCATATTATATATCAAGTCACCTAAAACCTCAGATTGCATTTATTCCTCATTATATATATGCACATTAACTTAAGGTAAAAAATAAAACCTAGTTTTTTTTATGCATGCATCCATTCTATAAATATTTATTACAGTGATTAAATGTAAACCTGCTCAGTTTACCTTTAAAAGGAACAATTGCAAACTTAAGCAAGTGTCATGCTAAGAGTAAAACATTTGAAGCATTACTGGAGGATGTTGTTCCTATTTAGCCTTTTGCCGGAGACCATGCCTAGTGCAGAAATTAAAAATAAGTTTTAGGAAATTAAAAATAACTATTAAAAATAAAGAGATAAAATTATCATCACATGGTAGGGTTATTTACTTAGACAATCCAAGAACTGATTAAAAATAGGGGTTTCCAATTTAGAAAACAAAACCAAGTTCAATCATCCACATATACAGGAAGCAAAGAAATACGTGAAAAAAACAAAAGTATGATACAAGTTTTCCTCATCATGCTGGGACACATATCAGAGAAGCAGTGATTGTTTACATGATATATGATAAAATAAATTGCACATCAAAATTTTAATGGAGAATAAAGAGGAAATTTACATTAAATAATGAAAACCTGTAGTACCGAATTTAGTAATTTTAAAGAACATAATGCCAAAATACATGAAAGAAAAGTAGTAGCCAAAAATGTGAGAACAAGCAGACTTATCTGTAATTGGATAGTTTGTCCCATGTGGAAATTAACAGGTAGGTAGAGTTAAATGGTGATCAAATATATGGAAACAAAAAATACTTCTTTAAATAGCACCTGGAGATAGAAATACCGTTTGACCCTGGAATCCCACTTCTTGGAATATATCCAAAGAATACAACCTCTCAGATTCAAAAAGACATATGTACCCCTATGTTCATCGCAACACTTTTTACAATAGCCAAGATATGGAAGCAGCCTAAGTGTCCATCTGTAGATGAATGGATAAAGAAGATGTGGTACATATATACAATGGAATACTACTCAGCCATAAGAAAGAAACAAATCTTACCATTTGCAACAACATGGATGGAGCTGGAGGACATTATGCTCAGTGAAATAAGCCAGGTGGAGAAATACAAATGCCAAATGATTTCCCTCATTTGTGGAGTATAACAATGAAGCAAAACTGTAGGAACAAAATGACAGCAGACTCAGAGACTCCAAGAATGAACTAGTGGTTACCAAAGGGGAGGGGTGTGGGAGGGCAGGTGGGGAGGGAGGGAGAAGGGGACTGATGGTGTGGGGAACCACGGGGAGAACAGTGTATCACAGAGAAGGGACATAGTGGATCTCTGGCAACTTGCTACACTGATGGACAGTGACTGCATTGGGGTAGGGTGGGGACTTGATAATATGGGTAAATGTAGTAACCACATTGTTTTTTCATGTGAAACCTTCATAAGAGTGTATATCAATCATACCTTAATAAAAAATAAAATAAACAAATAAATAGCACCTGGATTGTAGAGGATATATTGGGGGATGGCACTTTTTAAATAATGAGAATTCAGATTCTACACACGAAAATTTATGTGATGATACCAACGCAGTACTGTAAGGAAAAATTCATACCTTAAATCTCTGCATTAGGGATAAGTGTGGAAATTTGTGGCTAGAATTTGGAAAGAGAACAAAAGGAATCAAAATGGAATAAGCAAACCAAGCATGAATGACAAAAATTTGAAAAATATATGAAACTATTAATTGGTTCCTATTGATTACATTGGTAAAGAGTCAGCTCAATCACTGAAGTACAAATTAGTACATTTCTAATTGAATAGGAGGTATATAAAATAAATCAATTGTATTTTAAAATAGCGATCTGTCAGCTTGATGCTAAAAATTTGATTGCTAGTGAAACAGGCAGGAATTGTACAAGAGGGACTCCATTATGGAATGCGCCTCCACCTTGGGACGAGTACCTAACTTGAAAACATACTCTTAGAACAGCACCTGATCAAGCACAGGTTTTAGATCATTTTGACATAGGCAGTGTAGTTTAGGATGAGAAAAGCCCTGGGCGAGTTAAGAAACCACAGATACTAGGAGCTTGAGGCCATTTCTTGTGGCCAGCAAGTAAAACAGGTGAGGCAAAAACACACCAGCTAGATTCTAGATGGGAAACAAAGATAACCCCCAGTTACCCTGAAGCTCGTTATGCTCTCATTGACGTAAAAATCACACTCCTTGGTGCCATGACAATTCCAAGGCTGACCATTATCAGGGCAATCAGATATTTAAAAAAAAGGCATAGCCCCTAACCTTTATTTGGAGGAAACCCCACCTATCCTGATGAATATGCCATCCCCTGCATAAACTCCAGCTCAAAGACTACCCGACCTGAACCTCTGTGCTGGTCACCTCTCCAGCATGCCTCCCTCCTTTCCAGATTTAAGGAAACTTTTTCTCTTGAGTTATGACTGGACAGCAATTTGGTAATTATAAGCAGAAGTGAAAAACAAGTTTATCTTCTTTCTACCTGATCCCTCTAGAATTCAGAAATGCTCAGTGAGTATTCTCATTTTTATGGCAATATAGTTATTTACATAAGAGTCTTTTTCTCCGTGTAACAGGACATAATTAGAAACATTGGTTGTATTACCAAGGCTTTGGCTAAAGTGTCATATTTGAGAGAGATATAGACCCAAATATGATCAGACAGCTTTAAGGAGCTAAGGTTGACCTTGTGAAGCCAATAAAGCCCTTGGAAGTATTGATATTGTGCTTACAGAGTTCCCAGCAGCCTTCCCAGGCGAGTAAACAAAGTCACTTCTTGTCAGGTGCAGGAACCTCAGGATATTTAAGAAGAGGGGAAGTAACCCAAACCATGTATGTACTGTAGGCAAACTCTGATAGCAAAGTCCTTGGCTTGGCTTTCCTGGCCTTTTCAAAATTCAGTCTGAGGTTTCTTATGAAAAAGTAACAGTAAAGCAGATTAAAAAATATCTGTATGGTCAATCACTATTCTTGCTGCACTTACGTAAATAATTGTGAGGTAGGGCAGGGACATGGGACAAGGTCATGCCATTATAAAACCTACTTAGCCTGTGAAAAGGGCTCAGCTTATTCTTTAACTTAATCTATATGCTGTTCTCCTCTTCCAGCCCCTTAATCAATTAAATACCTTTGTAACCAGGACAGGGTATAGACCTCTGCAGTGTAAATGACCTCTATGTGAATAAAGAATGCCGAGATCCAGACCAACACAGTCACCTAAATAACCCTATTCTTGAGACAAAACTTTAAATGAATTATGAATCACCTGTATACGTAATGCCTCATGCTCAACCCTACCCAAAAGGCACTATAAAACCCCAAACCCTAAGTCCTTAAGTGTACTTCCTTTCTGAGGTTGCCTGCACTCCTCTCGGAGTGTGTGCTGTCTTATATCAACTAAATTTTCTGTCCTATAAGCTGATAGCACTTGTCTCTGAACTCTTTTCCATGATAAAGACAAAAACTCGCTGACCTACACCTTTGGTGGTCAGTGTCTTTGTCACTTTGCTATTTCATTCAGCTTTCTAGTCTTAACACAATCCTTTTCTCTCTCCCTGTTTTATTTCAGACCAGTAGGGAAGTGGAAGTTCTCAGAACATAAATTCACTCATCCAGTGCTCTCTGGCTCCCCCAAATACTGGGGTGGTAGAGGCTTAGTTCTGATGCTGTGCAGATTCAAGCAGACCCTGGACACCAGGTAACCCTGGCTTCAGGAGTGGGCAAGGGCTCTGCCCTATGCCGAGCAGTTCCCTTTCCTCCCTCTGCTCTTCCTTGCTCTCTACTGCCTGCACGGCTGCTGCCATTCACTACTACTCTCACCTTAATGAATTCCTTCCTTACCTACAACTTGTCCGACCTGGTCGATTTCTTAATCAGAGTCAAGAATCCTTCCCTGGCTGGGCTGAGGTTTCACCTAGCGCAAGGGGTGAGACCTACCCAGACAAGAGCTGCCTAATGACAGTTGGACTCAACTTGGAAACAAATGGTTATCTTTCATAAATAGGGCGAGTTTAGAGAGAAAAATTATGTTTCATTAACACACCTTTTGGCATATTCAAGTCTAGCTCTGATTAATTTGTCTTTGAGGGCTTTCTGTTTGCTTGATAAATTGTACTAGATTTTGAATTCTCCTGGTTTCCTCAAATACCTGGTTATGACTCTCCAAATTAATGTTTCCAATTTTCTCTCATCCTTTTGGTTTAGAACCACAAAGAATTAAACTTGTGTTTTTCCCTGAAGCTCTGAAGCTAGAGCTAGGGGATTTGACACAGACTTGAGAGGCATCTTCAAGACAGCCCATGTTTAGATAATCTCTATACCTGTTACTGTGTGGGCCATTCAGAAAGATCACCAAAGACATCCAAACTGCAAAGGAGGAAAATCAAATTACCACTGCATGGACTCACCCTGTTTGTGAAGATGCTTAAAGTTTGACATCTAAAAATCTCACTGGCAGCACTCAGGCCTCAGACACTGGATTTATGATTTGCTCCAACCATCAACCTTGTTTTTCTTTTGCTCCTGTAGAAATGACTCTGATTGCTTAGAAAAGATAGGCCTAACTTTGGGAGCCAGCCTACAAGACTGTGTCCTGAAATGAGATACAGCCAACTCACTGAACTGACCTATTCTCAAGACTGGTTTTGGTTATTGTTTCTATGACACCCTAACAGAGAATCTCAAAGGTTGCCAGTCTTTAGAAAAATGAAGTCTGGGTACCTGAGTTTATTTTCAACAGCAGGTTATAACAACTTCAGCTTTAGCTAATAATGCTTCACAGCTTTCAGCCAGTCCCAACTCTGGGAGGTCCAGTCCTCTACTGATCCTTTGGTCAATCAGGGAGATACTTCTGTTCCTCCCGAGTATGAGGACTTATGGCCCCATCTAGCAGGAAGAAGTTACAGAAGACAGACCTTTGGCCTTCATCACCCCTTATGAAAAGGAGAATAAAATCCCAGAGGGGAAATGAAGCAGACAGCGATTGAACAAGAGGGACTGCATTTTGGAATGAGCCTCCATCTTGGGACATGTACCTAACTTGAAAACATTAGCACCTGATCAAGCACAAGTTTTAGGTCACTTGACCTGTGACGATTTATTATTAACATTGTTTTCTCCTGAAAGCCTCTATTCTAGGGCATCAAAAGGAACCTTTTGACTAACAGACTGTGAGATTATAAACTGATGTCTGTCAAACGTCAGAGTAGTGTCTTACCTGAAGACATATTGGCAGGAAAACATTAAGAAAGATTGATCATTACATACCTCAGAACCCCCTGGACCTTCAGAGACTGCCTTTATAAACCCCACACCATTTCCCTTTCCACTGGGCCTGACCTCTCCTTCTTGTCAGCTATCTGTAGTAAATTCTGTCTGCTTTCTATCTTTTGATTTTGGTGTTTATTTCTATCACATTGAAATTCAAGAACCTGGTCTTTGGGGGTCTAGTAACACTAGTATCAAAATGTGTACCTCCTTACAAAGATGTAATATTACAAAACTGACATTTCAAAGAGAATATGTCCAGACTGGTTATGAAAAATAATCCATACATTGTCAAAAATAACCAATTAAAATCTTGTCATTTTCTTCCAAAAGAAAAATGGTTTTCCTGAGACTTTTCCAATGATGGAACAAATCATTTCCAAATACTCCCAGAGTATAGAAAATGATAGTAAGATACCCAGTTCATTTGCTGAAGTAAATGTGAACCTCTTTAAAAAAAGAAAAGAAAAGATATTAGCAAGGAAATTTCGGAGATTACTTATGAACATAGGTGCAAAAGTCCTCATAAATCTCAGAAAAATCAAATAGAGAAACATTTTGAAGAATTGCCAAAGTAGTTCTGGAATTACAAAGTTGATATAATCCTGCAAGACACATTATATTAATAAGAAACAATAAAATTGTGTTATCACTGTAATGTACACCAAAAAGGCATTTGAAAAAATTCAGCTTCTATTTCTAATGAAGACTAATTTCTTTCTAATAGTATGTTTCAAAAACTAAGAAGCAACATAACAATATTTGATGAAGGAGGAAGACTTCTAGACCCCCAGAATAGCAGCTGTAAGGTGCTTCCAAAATGATGAAATTCTGGTTCCATGTTTCACAGATGAACATAGCCAAGGAAATGAAATAACTTACCCAAGGTCACTCACTGAGTTTGATGGTGGGTCTTTTGACTACTAGTCTATCTCTGTATTATCTATTAAATTCCTTATAAATAGAAACAAGGGTGCTACCTGTCATTTCTAGCATTTAACATACTACAAAAGAAAGGGTCTTGGAAGTAATTGGATCCAAGCCATTTACCCCTGCTACTGCATCGCTCGCAAGTAAACTTCCAGTTGGTCATCTAGCTTGAATGCATCCAATTTTGGGGGAATCCTTAGGGATGCTGGCCATTTTGGAAAGCTCTGTGTGAAAGATGATTCTGTGTACTGAACTGAAACCCGCCTTTCTGGACCATCCTGGAATTATCAGGTCAGTAGCTTCAAGGTGGGATGTGAAGAGGTATGCACAAGGGCATCCCTGGAGGCAAGGGAAGAAAATATGAAACTTTCTGCTTATGTTTTAACATTAAAAAAGAAATCAGTTCCTTCTGATATTTAAAATATGGCTTGATATGAGAGCTGTAAATTGGTCTTGTAGTATATACCATCTACATAGCGTACCTGTCATTTAACAGGGTGATAATAACCAGCAAAACTAAACAAAAACCTGTGGCTGAGGTATTGACCAATCAGAATGAAAGATGGTCACAAGCAATCTGGTCCAAAATCAACCCTGCACACTAGACTTTAAAGGGAAAACTGGGAATAATTTGATGGTGATTTGCTTTATTGCAGTTTATCTGTGTGGTTAAGTGGATTTAAGGTTTATCAAATGATTCTTGTGAATAACCACAAATTGAAGATAATATAATCAAGCAGTACAAGTGAACAAGTTGGAAATGAGAGAGCCCTTTCCTTAACCTCCCACTAATCTGCCTCTTGAAGATAAAGATACCATTTTAATAATGAGTGAGAAAGTGACTGCTTTCCTAAAGGAACTAATTTTATAGAAAGAGAATTTTGAAAACTAATATTTAGGAGTGTTTTCACCATTGTATGATTGCCAAAAAATCTGGTAATCTGTAATTTTACACAATAGTAGGAAATACTCTAACCTATAAAAATATTCCATCAAGGATTGTTTCCATGGATTTAACTCGTTAAAGATATAAAAATACTATACCTTCCCATTAATATTTAACCGACATCAGAGAAGATTGTTCCTGGCAGATGAGACTGAAAAATGGTGAATCTTCCACTGTAGATATCTTTCACCTGGAGCCCCTTAGCTCACTATTCTAATGAATAGAAATACTTCACCACCACAAAAGGAAGCAAGACACAAATAATGGGGGTAGAACAAAAAAAACTTCCTGCAAGATCAAATAACAATACCTAGAAAACAAGTGAATTGACCAAAAATTACTAGATGTTAGTTAAATATGAACTTAGCAAAATTGCTTTCCTAAATACATATCAGAATAGACTGAGAAGGGCTCTGTGCTGTATGATTCCATGGCTATAACATTCTAGAACAGCAGGGAGAACAGTTCTATGGTTTAGGAGTTGGGGTTGGGAGCAGGGGATTTACTGCAAAGGGGCATGAAGAAACTTTTGCGGGACAGCCTTGATTGTGGTGATGTTCATAATTCACAGAACTGTACCCTAAAGAAAGATGAATTTTACTGGATGTGAATTGTATCTCAAGTGATCTGACTTCTAAAAATAGATGGAGAAAAGGTGACTTCATCCCCCAAAGGGGAAAATCATATGTGTCAGTGTTCATTTGTGTCAAAGTAATGAGGTTTATACAGTGGAACAATAAAGGAAGATGGTATGAATGGTACTAGCCTCTTCCTGGTTGAAAAGACGAAGTCTGGATGACACTGGGCCCAGAGATGTGGGCCGCCGCCGGGTGGAAGCGAAAGTGGATCCCTGAAGCCCAGTGGGTCGGAAGCCCTCTGGCCAGGGATCAGCCCTGCCCTCTTCGGGGCTGGGCCTTGGCAGCGCTGGGCCTCAAGGGTCCAAGTCCAAGAGTCTGGAGACTTGGGAGACAGTAAGTGTGCCTCCCCGCGCAGCTCCCAGGGCAGGTCCCCCACGCAGGCGCTCAGCCCTGCCGCGTCCCCCGACCTGTCTCTCCTCCGCCGACGCTCCCCGGCCTGCTGCCTGCCCCTTAGCCCCCTGAATCTGGGCGCACGCCCTCCCGGCGCGGGTGCTCGGCGCCTTCGCCTCTAAGCTCCCCCTTTCCCCTCCCGGCAGTGGCTGCCCCTGGCGACGCTGAGATCAGGAAGGACGTGCAGGTGACCAGTAGGTCCTGGAGTGGCAGAGGCGGAGCCTGGCCCACCAGGCAGATGGTGCTGTCTGCTGTCTGGCAGAAGGAAGGCGCGGGAGCACCAGGCCTTCGGAGGCTCGGCCAGGCCCGCGCCCCTGCCCCCAGGAGCTGCGGCGGGCGCGCAGGGCGGAGTGGGGCCTCAGAGCTCTGTTGGGAGGAACGGCGGCCAGGTCTAGATGGGTGGGGGTGGGGGGATGGTGGCCCTTCTCCCAGTGGGCACCAGCTCCAGCTCTTAATTCTCCCTATTCCTTACCCAACTATTGGCCTCTGGGTCAGACCTACTATGGACAGGTGCTGAAGAAAACGGCGGACCTCCAGACTAATGCCTGCATTACCACAGCCAGGCCGGTCCCCAAGCACATCCGGGAAGCCCTGCAGAACGTACATGAGGAAGTAGCCTTGAGGTAGAGTGCTCTCTGCTGCCCCCATGAAGACCCCAGATAGCAGCTTTAGAGAGAGGGGCGGGGGAAGGGGAGAGGCGGGGAGGAGAGATGCCAGTCACGAGGGGATTAACCCACCTCCGATCGGCCAGCTTGCCTCTCCCATAAAACTGGTAGAGCACGGCCCTCCTCCCCTGACTGCTCTGTTTAAGAACCGCCAATGACCCCACCGCACCCGCCTTTACTAGCAGGTTACAGTCACACTACTCAGTCCTGACATGGAAGACTGTCCGGTTTGGCCCTCCCTTCCTAACCAGCCTTGGCTCCCTGTGATGCACTATGCTACTCTCCGCTGAACTTTCCCTTCCTCTTGCCATCAGCACCGCCAAGGTGATCTCTGCCTCTCAGCGTGCAGTTACCATCTGGAATGCCTTCTCCTGTTGGCCTTCCAAATCTTGCCCATCCATTACCCCACCGATGTCTTACCTGCTTTGCGAAGCTTTCTCCAATCCTCCAGCCCCGCTTCCTCAAAGCACTACAGGACTCGCTGCCTGTGTCGCTCAGCTTGTCAATGACGCATGGAAAATGTTTTCTGTGCTCACGTGTTACCTCCGCAGTTAAATACACCTATGGACAAGAAATTGTTCTAAATTTCTTCTTTAGTAACCAGCACAGCCCTGAACCTGCATTAGATGCTCAGCTAATGCCTAAATGCATTTATTTAACCAGTATTCTACATAGCTTGTCTCAGTACTTGGTGCAGTGCCCAACATACAATGGTAAGTGAAGCAGTAGGAGTCCCAGCCTTCACGGAGCTTCCGGTTTAGTGGAGGAGACTAAACACCCAAACAGAAATTGAAAGAATGATGAAAAGAAGAGAAAAAGGAAGGAGGAAGGAAGGATTTATAAGATGTAGTGGTTCCACAATTTCTGGTCTCTAGAGGGAAAATATCTATATATTTTGTATTTCCCAGGTATTATGGCTGTGGTCTGGTCATCCCTGAGCATCTGGAAAACTGCTGGATTTTGGACCTGGGTAGTGGAAGTGGCAGAGATTGCTATGCACTTAGTCAGCTGGTTGGTGAGAAGGGACGTGTCACTGGAATAGACATGACAGAAGGTCAGGTGAGTTGATGATTTGGAGGATAAGGAGGAAAACATTCTCAAAAGTGCTCTTTTAGAGATAAAGTCGTTTCCTTGTGAGCCTTCAAGGATAATTTAAGAAGGCTGCTAAATGCAATGCTCTTTGGTTCAACTAGTGCTTCCTGCCCTGGAAGCTGGGAATTTTGACCATTAGGGGCTTTTCGGGAAAACACAAAGTCAGAGGTTTGAGCTGATATATGAACATCACGATGATCCAGTGGAGTTTGATTTTTTCCTCCCTTCTGCTGTCTATCTTGAAAGATTTTGTTATTGAGTGTAGAGTTTTTTCAAGCAAAACCCATGTATCAAACAGGGAGCTTATGTCCCATTGAGTTGTCCCAGGCTGTAGTATATCCTGCATGCCCAGAGGAACCTTGAATACTTAGCCAAAGTAGTCTGGGGGAAGTATATTCCATTAGCAATAGGAATATTTTAGGAAAAAAAGTGTGTATTTTTTTAAAATGTTGATTATCAAATCTGTATTTTTCTTCCTTTAGGTTGAAGTGGCTAAAAAGCATATTGAATATCACATGGAAAAATATGGCTTCCAGATAGCCAATGTGACTTTTATTCATGGCTACATAGAGAAGCTGGAAGAGGCCGGAATCCAGAATGAGAGTTATGATATTGTTATGTAGGTCTATATCCCTATATCCTTACTGTTATGCATATAGCCCATTTCCTATTGAACACAAGTGGCACCACTTCTTGCTGACTAACAGTCATGCAGGGTGTTACACCAAACTTAGCACGACTTAATAAAGGGAGAGAGCTGGTCTGAGCCATTGTAGCTCACTGACCACAGAACAGGCTAGCCCAGGAGGAACCTTATTTTAAATTTAGCCATAAACCAATAAGCCCAAAGGACCAACGAAACCACTGAGTCTGCTCATACAATACACACTGCCCTGTTATCTTTAGGATTATTTTCATGGCAAATTATAGGATTCTGTGTTTCTCTTTTTCCTTTGAGTTCCTGTCAAATCTTGCCCAAGTGATAGCCTTAGCAAAGCTGCCTTTGAGGAATTTAGCCAGTTGACATGTAGCATAAGAAATGCTTTATGCAGTCGGCATCTGGGCCCAGGCTTCATTTTGCATGGTGGTCATCAGGGCAGAAGCAAGTAAGAAGCATGCCTGATTTTTTTTTTTTTCTGTACACTCAAACTTGCTAACAATTTATTGAGACTTCAAACACTCTGTCTTTCTCTTATCTTTTTCTTATGAGAAAAAGTTGAGTGTGGGGAGGCGGGGAGGGAGGCAGGAAGAATGATGTATCTTTGAGAGAATGGTGGAAGTCACCTTCAGGGACTAAAAAAGGATTTAAAGATCTCAGAGTAGGGTGCATATTTGTTTGTCATTGCCTTTGTTCTATTTTAGATCAAACTGTGTCATAAACCTGGTTCCTGATAAACAACAAGTGCTCTGGGAGGTATATCGAGTGCTAAAGGTGAGGGGCAGAGGGAGACAAGGGATCCTTCAACATCAGTGAGCAGACGGCATCTGTCCTGTTCTTGCCCCCTTGAGCTGAAAATTCAGACAAACTCTTAATATCTATCAAATTAAAAGGGGGTGGCAAAAAAAGGGGAGTGGCTGGAATACCCTAGATATGGATTCTTTTTCCTTTCAGGTTGCAAAAGATAATTAATCTGAGAGTCACGATTGTCACTGAACATGTTAAAATGTTTTCTTTATTGGCTGTCTCTCTCCTGCCTGCTGCTTTCTGTGATCCTAGAAGACATCTGCAGAGCCGCAAGGGCCTTTTCACTGACTGCTAATGGTTGCTGTGAATATACTCTTCTAGCTCGTACTGTGTTTCTCAGAGCTACTTATTTCCTCTCTATGAGGATTCCAGATCTTTGGGAAGTTAAGAAGATGGCACTTCTACACGTACTGCTTTCTAAAGGCTTCATACCCTCAATATATATCATGAGATATGTATCTTCATGGCAGAAGACAAAAGATTCTGAGATTTTTGGTTTAAAAGGCTGTCATAGAGATCAAATAAGAACATCCATGTAGAAATGATTTAATAATGTCTTAATTCATATGCCATTTTATAGACTAGCTCACTACCTTCACCAAGATGGACCTGTAAAAGGTAAAGGCATTATTGTAGAATCTAGACCTCCATGCTCTTGAAATTAGCTAAATAAAATCTTAAAATTTCTGATTACTCATATGTCTGAGATTTTAAGGACAATGTTTTTAAAGCATATGTATTATTATAAAAATAGATAACAACATTACAAAAGATATGCTTTTTAAGGGAGAAGAGTTTATGAATATTGTTTACTGCTTCCGTTAGTTATATAATCACCTGGGGATGCATTTGGTTCAGGTTGACTAAAAATTTACGTAACCTGAGTATCTTTATTTGTGAGAGAGACACTCTTAGAATGCTGTTTTATTACCTGTTGGGTAGTGCATGGAAAAAAAACCATGGCTCTAGGCTATTGCTCGTCACTAGGGAGGCAGCTGTGTTTGTTCTCTAAAGGTCAGCGCAAGCATTTCTGTTTCATTAAGTTGATTTTACCCTCTCATTCCTTTCTTTGCTCTTTGGAACTAAGGTAATCTTTAACCTTGTTTGGACTAATCCTGCTGTTGCAGCTTGGTGGGGAGCTGTATTTCAGTGACGTCTATGCTAGCCTTGAATTGCCAGAAGAAATCAGGACACACAAAGTTTTATGGGGTAGGTGTTTATTTATGTGCACAGCTCCATTCTGCTAATTCCAGGACAAGGCTTTGTGATGTGGGAGCACGTAGGATTAGGTTAGGAGGCTTAGGTTCCATCCCTCCTCTGCCATTCAAAAGTGGTATAACCATGGACAATGCAGTTAACCTCTGTGAGTCATTGTTTTTCAAATTGTATAATGTAAATAATTCAGTCTGCCTTATAGGGCTGTTGAGAAGGACTAAATGAGCTACTGAATGTGAAAAACACTTTGAAAACTGTATAGTGTGGAAATGCAGGTAACTGTTCCGCAATGGATGCTCTCTTGGTTTCCTTATGTTCTCACCATGTTTGTTCCCTTATTGTCATTTTAATGGAATCTCTGAAAATTGAGGAGATAAATGCATGCTTGTGGTCAATCTGTGAGATCCCAAATTCTTACTTTTAAAATAAATTAACATTTTTCTTACTGTACAGTGATAGATGGATTTTGTTAAAAAGCTAGAAAATACAAAAAGATGAAGAAAAAATTACTAGTCATATAACCCAGCAATAGCCTCTTTAGTATTTTAGTATACTGTCTGTCCTTCCTATTTTTTTTATGTGTGTGTATAATAAAATTGGGGACATGATAGAGAGAGTTAAATTTTCTAATTTTATTCAGCATATTTCCTAAGCCTCAAATTAAAAAAAAATATGTTTTAAATGTTTGTGTTATCCAACTGTATTACATAGCTGTCCCATACTTTTTTGGCCATTTTTCTATTGAGGATCATTTAGGTTGTTTCTAATTTGTTGAAGAACTGAAAAATGCCTTACAAGCATTGGTAGTAGTTTTTGTTTTAGGATCAGTTCACTATGAGATTAATCTGGAGCTAAAAGACAATTTTGTAATTTCTCTGTTATGCTTTTTTACTCATATTACATAGTACTTTTCAGAGTATGACCTAATATACACATGAATATCATGATAGCAGCTGGGTGGAACCGCTGCATTAGTGACTGTCCTGAAGAATGGTTCCCAGAGACCATTAGCTAACTGTATACTTGGTTTTAACTGTGACTTTCTATACCTCGGGGGGGACATTCAAATCTTTCTTATACTTCTAGGACCCGTGTTTTAACTAATACCATATCCTGGGCAATTGCATAGAAGAGTAATTCCCTTAATACCTCATTGTATTGATTGGTCTGTGATTTTTCTTTTTTTTAGGTGAGTGCCTGGGTGGTGCTTTGTACTGGAAGGACCTTGCCATCTTTGCCCAAAAGATTGGGTTCTGCCCTCCACGTTTGGTCTCTGCCAATCTCATTACAGTTCAAAACAAGGAACTAGAAAGAGTGATGGGTAAGAAACAGCAGTAGCAAATATTGTAACCACACCAAGTGGTTCAATCTGGTGATTATCAAGTGTCTAGTGAGTGAGTCTCATTGAGTGAGGCTTTGCATCAGCTGGAAATCTCCATCTTGTCTCCTGTTGAATGGCAACCTCCTGAAGTTTGGCATTTAATTAAGCACTTTAAAGTTATTCAATAAATGGAGTGAAGTGTCCAGAAAGATAACTGATAGCATGCAAAAAAGAAAATTCTGTTTATAACATGTATGTTTCTCATCTACTAAGCAAACTATAGCTCAGATGCTGGAGATGAACCATGAATAAATTCTGTTTTTAGGTGACTGTCGTTTTGTTTCTGCAACATTTCGCCTCTTCAAACTCCCTAACACAGAACCAGCCACAAGAAGCCAAGTAATTTATAATGGAGGAATCACGGGACATGAAAAAGAACTAGTATTTGATGCAAATTTCACATTTAAGGTAAATAAAAATTTCCATGACTTCCGGGACTCTTTCTACTCCTACCCTTGCTCTAGGTACCTTTTCTTAACCTTGCATTACTTCTCACTATTCAGGTGTTGGGGTGTGTGTGTGCTCGTGTATGTGTGTGTGTGTGTGTGTGTGTGTATACTTTTGCTGAACCATTAAAAGTGAGTTGTAGACACCATGGCATTTTACCCTTAAATATCTCAGTGTGCATCCCCTGAGAGTAAGATATTCTCCTACGTAGCCACAATAGCATTATCATACCTAAGACAATTTTTTATTGAAGCAACATTCAGACGTCAGGTTAATGGAATTATAGAGAAGCCAGATGCAAAAGAATAAGAGTACTGCATAGCAGTATTTTGGTTGCTGTATCATGAAATTAAGGGATTGTTAGTGTTCAGAGATGACACATTGATATTTCTACTACTCTTTGTAGAGATGGAATTGTTTTCTCAAAATGGAAAAGTACAGGCTTGGAATAAAAGAACCTTGGTTCAAATTCTGGCTCTATTTTTTCTTGCATAAGTCACCAAAGTTCTTTGAGATAAAGTTTGCTCTACTATAAAAGTAAGAACAAGAATACCTGCCAAGAGAATTTCTATAGATTAGCAATGATACAACAAAATATTGGTACAGGTTGGGAACTCAGTAAGTAGAAGACATAGTTGTTACTTGTTCCAAAGGTGTAATGGTTTACTGTTTCCCTCCTCTGATTTCTTTTGTTCAAATAGCATTTTTTTTTTCCTTTGGGTAGAGCATATAACCTGAAGAACTTGATAACTTCAGAATGAAATATGTTTTCCTTTATTGTACTGGATTCCAGTGGGCCTTTCAATCTGGAAACTTCATTCAATCTGGAAACAAAGTCAAAAGTGAACAGAAGACTTGAATATAAACATGAACAACTTCTTCATGAACATATTTCCGCAGGCAAGGGAAACAAAAGCAAAAGTGAACAAGTGGGACTATATCAAACTAAAAAGCTTCTGTACAACAAAGGCAACATTCTTGGCAACAAGTCCCACTTGTTCACTTTTGCTTTTGTTTCCCTTGCCTGTGGAGATATGTTCATGAAGAAGTTGTTCATGTTTTTATTCAAGTCTTTTGTTCAAACAGTATCTTCAAATATCTGAAATAGTCCTTGGGCAGTGGAGCCATTAATGCTTTTTCACTGAAAGATTGGCCCTGCCCCAACAGAGTCACAGAATCAGTGGGGAGGGTCTTTGAAACCATGGCTCTGATCTAGTGGCTTTTACAAAACCATTTTTAATATAATTTTTTAAAGAAACTTGTGTTCTTCCATTTGGGGAAGTTTTAATGTATTATTTCTTTTTTCTAAAAAATATATTTTATTATTATTTTTTAATTTTGGTATCATTAATATACAATTACATGAGAACATTGTGGTTACAAGATTCCCCCCATTATGAAGTCCCCACTACATACCCCATTGCAGTCACTGTCCATCAGCATAGTAAGATGCTATAGAATCACTACCTGTCTTCTCTGTGCTATACTGCCTTCCCCATGCACCCAGCCCCCTACATTATGTGTGTTAATCATAATGCCCCCTTTTCCCCTTATCCCTCCCTTCACACCCATCCTCCCGAGTCCCTTTCCCTTTGGCAACTGTTAGTCCATTCTTGAGTTCTGTGATTCTGCTGTTTTGTTCCTTCAGATTTTTCTTTGTTCTTATGCTCCACAGATGAGTGAAATCATTTGATACTTGTCTTTCTCCACCTAGCTTATTTCACTGAGCATAATGCCCTCTAGCTCCATCCAGATTGTTGCAAATGGTAGGATTTGTTTTCTTCTTATGGCTGAATAATATTTCATTGTGTATATGTACCACATCTTCTTTATCCATTCATCTACTGATGGACACTTAGCTTGCTTCCATTTCTTGGCTATTGTACATAGTGCTGTGATAAACATAGGGGTGCATATGTCTTTTTGAAACTGGGCTGCTGCATTCTTAGGGTAAATTCCTAGGAGTGGAATTCCTGGATCAAATGGTATTTCTATTTTTGTTTTTTGAGTTACCTCCACACTGCTTTCCACAATGGTTGAACTAATTTACATTCCCACCAGCAATGTAGGAGGGTTCTCCTTTCTCCACAACCTCACCAGCATTTGTTGTTGTCTTTTCTATGTTGGCCATCCTTACTGGTGTGAGGTGATATCCCATTGTGGTTTTAATTTGCATTGCTCTGATGATTAGTGATGTGGAGCATCTTTTCATGTGCCTGTTGGCCATCTGAATTTCTTCTTTGGAGAAGTGTCTGTTTATATCCTCCACCCATTTTTTAATAGGATTATTTGCTTTTTGTTTGTTGAGGTGCATGAGCTCTTTTTATATTTTGGATGTTAACCACTTATTGGATATGTCATTTATGAATATATTCTCCCATAGGATATCTTTTTGTTCTACTGATGGTGTCCTTTGCTGTACAGAAGCTTTTTAGTTTGATAAGTCCCACTTGTTCACTTTTGCTTTTGTTTCCCTTGCCTGTGGATATATGTTCATGAAAAAGTTGTTCATGTTTATATTCAAGTCTTTTGTTCAAATAGTATCTTCAAATATCTGAAATAGTCCCTGGGCAGTGGAGCCATTAATGCTTTTTCACTGAAAGATTGGCCCTGCCCCAACAGAGTCACAGAATCAGTGGGGAGGGTCTTTGAAACCATGGCTCTGATCTAGTGGCTTTTACAAAACCATTATTAATATAATTTTTTAAAGCAAAATCATATTTAAAACACCTGTATTTACTATGTGTTAGGCATTGCTTTCATGCCTTCTCAATATATGAAGGGCTAAAAGCAGTTTATCTGATGGGAGCAGGGGTTAGAGACCCCAGATTCTCCTGTGCTTGCTCCTGGCTCCCTAAGCATGGACCAATTTCATACTTCTCAGGCACCCTAGGACTTACTTGAAAAATCGCTAGCCCAAGGCCCTCATTTTAGTGGTGAATAAGGTGAAGCCCAGAGAGCGATGGTTTTCTATATCTGTCTCTCAGGACAAATTAGATATTGGAGTAATGAGTGTCCTTTTTTTTTTTTTTTGGCATTGCCACTGAGAAGGAAAAATTCTGAATTGTCCAGGATTAGTGACACAAAGGGCTAGAGAATGAAGAAGAGAGATAAGAGAAGGTAATTGGTCAATAGCCACCAGTCATAGCTAGCCAGAAACTCCATGCTCCTGGATGAAGGAATTTCAACAATCATCAGAACCATTCCATATCCCTTGCTTCTGACCAGTGCCTGACCATCATCACCAACCAATCCACGAGCCTTCTCTATGGACTTTCCTATCCCAGGACTTTCCACCTTCACATTAGCCCATCTTCCTTATCTGAGGCCAGCGTAAATTTAGAGGACTTTGTATTCTTCAGACCACTTATAAAAGTGCCCTATTTCTTGAGTCTGATGGACACGTCATTTTTGTTAGCTGGCCTGGCTGCTGGTGAAGCAGAAACTTCCGTCTCAGTACTCAGTGCTTTCTCTGGCTAGTACCTGTAAAGACTCAATATATCCTTATCCTTCAGAAATCTCTCAGCCTCTAGAGTTTTTGATTTGTCACCACTAAAGAAAAACTGATTATGACACTGGTCAATTCCATCTGGAAATAGACATGAAACTTAGCAGCAGCCTCTGCAAGTGAGAGAATAACATGTCAGAAAGTGTCATCTTTATCCTGCAGTACCGCTCATTAATGAAACTTTGGGCATTCTTCTTCTATTGAGATTTAGGTGGCATTTCTTAATAAGTGTTTTTCATGCTACTCTTCAGAAAGGGGAAACTGTTGAAGTGGATGAAGAAACAGCAGCTATCTTGAAGCATTCACGATTTGCCCAAGACTTTCTGATCAGACCAGCTGGAGAGAAGTTGCCAGCATGTACATCCTTTTCTACTTTACAATCAAAGGTTCGTTTATTTTTCAGTTCCCTGCCCCAAACAGAGAACCACTGAGCCAATCGTTACACTTGCCACAGACTACTAAAAGCAAGAAACAAATCTTTATTCTTTTAGTTGGCCACCGTAAATTATTTCTAGCATATTTGTATCTATAGAATGATTTGAATTAATTTCATACTTTCATTTCTCCAATCCTGACAGATTCCTAACTTGGTGCACCCATGATTGGATTTCAGGGCTCCTTAAAATTATATGTATTCTCTCAGTAAATGGTCTGTCTACTTTCCTCAGATTCTTAAAGGAGTCCAGATACAAAGAAGCTAAGAGCTACCTTGGAAAAGATTATTCAAATTACACATGCATATTTTCAAGTCCTTTAATAGAGATAGTCAAATTGCCTTCCAGGAAAGATTGTAGCAGTTTACATGCTTACCTGCAATATTTGAGAACACCTTTTCCCTGCACTCTTCTTAATATTGGGTGTAATTAAAAAAATCTTTGCCTGTCTGATGGGCAAAAAATAATTTATTATTTTATTTTGCATATATTAAACTTTTTGATATTAACTATTTATATTTCATCCATTGTGAACTTCCTATATAATTCCTTTAATCATTTCCTATTAGTGGGCTACTTGCCTTTTTTTTACTGCTCTGTAAGAGGTTGTCTATTACATGTTGGAAATATTTTTTCTCAGCATATCATTTATCCTTTTATTTACTTATTTTCCCCTGAATAGATATTTTCAATTTTTATGTAGTCATTTCCTTTATGGTTTCTGCATCCGATTTTATGATTAGAAAGACCCACTCCATGTGAACATTTTAAAGTTACCAATATTTTTTCTCTAAGTACTTTTTAAAAATTGAGGTCAAATTCACATAACAGAAAAATCACTGTTTAAATCATTATAACATATATGATTTAGTAGCTTTTAGTACATTTACAGGGTTGTACAACTATCACCACTATCTAGTTCCAGAAAACTTCCATCATCCCAAAAAGAAGTCCCATACCTATTCAGTAGTCACTGCCCAAAGCCCCTCTTGGCAACCCCTGGCAATAACTAATCTGCTTTCTGTCTCTGGATTTGCCTATTCTGGACATTTCATATTAGTGGAACCACAAACTTTATGGTCTTTTGTGTCTGACTTGTTTTACTTACCATCATGTTTTTAAGGTTTTTCCATACATCAGTACTTCCTGTCTTCTTATGGCTAAATAATATATTTCATTGTATGGATATAGCACTTTTGGTTTATCCAGTCATTAGCTGATAGTTGTTTAGGTTGTATCCATTTTTCTGGCTATTGTGAGTAATGTTGTCACAAACATGTGTGAGCATGTGCTTTGTGCCTTTGTGGATACTTGTTTTCAATTCTTTGGGGGTCTATACCTAGAAGTGGACGCTCTAGGTCATGTGTTAATTCTACATTTAACTTTTTGAAGAACTACTGGACTGTTTTCCACAATGGCTGTCCCATTTTACATTCCTACCAGCAATGTAGAAGGATTCTAATCTCTCTATATCCTTGCCAGCACCTGTTATTTTCTGTTTTGGTTGTAGCCATCCTAGTCTGTGTGAGTTGAACCTCACTGGGTTTGATTTGCATTCCCCTAGTGACTAATGGTGTTAAGAATCTTCTCAGGTGCTTATTGACCATTTGCATATTTTCTTTGGAGAAACGTCTATTTAAGTCTTCTGTCCATTTTTTTTTTTGAGAGGGCATCTCTCATATTTATTGATCAAATAGTTGTTAACAACAATAAAATTCTGTATAGGGGACTCAATGCTCAATGCACAATCATCAATCCACCCCAAACCTAATTCTCGTCAGTCTCCAATCTTCTGAAGCATAATGAACAAGTTCTTACATGGTGAATAAATTCTTGCATAGTGAATAAGTTCTTACATGGTGAACAGTACAAGGGCAGTCATCACAGAAACTTTCGGTTTTGATCACGCATTATGAACTATAAACCATCAGGTCAAATATGAATATTTGTTTGATTTTTATACTTGATTTATATGTGAATCCCACATTTCTCCCTCATTATTATTATTATTTTTAATAAAATGCTGAAGTGGTAGGTAGATGCAAGATAAAGGTAGAAAACATAGTTTAGTGTTGTAAGAGAGCAAATGTAGATGATCAAGTGTGTGCCTGTAGACTAAGTGTTAATCCAAGCTAGACAAGGGCAATAATACATCCACGGATGCAGAAGATTTCTCTCAAAACAGAGGGGGGAGGTGAGGTTCTAAGCCTCACCTCTGTTGATTCCCCAATTCCTCACCTGATGGTCCCCCTGCGACTGTGCCTGTCTTAGGTTGTTCCTCCCTTGAGGAATCTTACCCGTCTCTGGCTAACCAGTCATCTTCCGGGGCCATACAGGGAAATGTAAAGTTGGTAAGTGAGAGAGAAGCCATATTGTTTGAAAAGGTTAGCTTTTTACTTCTTTGCAGATTTATGCCCTGTGGCTTCTATGACCAGCACTTGTCTCGAGGTATTTTTACCACCTGGAGGAATTATGATACTCGGTAAATTCGATATGAGGCACGAATTCTATTTAAGGGTTGTAATTAGGAAGGAAGAAGAAAAGCTATAGAGGTAGCAGATGGAAGAAAACATGGGAGGACTGATTATTTCTTTGACATATCTTCTTGTAGAGTAACTTAAGCATGTATAGGTTTTAACTACTAATTAAATTATGCACACACATTAACGTAATAGGAATACAGTTACATAACCAAAGCAGATCTATAATTACCAGCCATCTCCAGTGAAGCCAAGAAAACCAGTTAGGCATCCTAGGCATTTGTGAAAATTTATCTATGATATGATAGATAATTGTCCAACTGAACTTGAACAGTCTGAGAGAAATCTCTTCTGTCCATTTTTAAATTGGGTTGTTTGTCTTTTATTTAGGGTTGTAATAGTTCTGTATATTCTGGGTACCAGGCATATATCCTTATCAGATATTTGACTTGCAAAAATTTCTCCCATTCTGTGTATTGTCTGAATTTTCAGTCTCTTGATAGTGTCCTTTGGCACACAAAAGGTTTTAACCTGATGATGTCCAGTTTATCTTTTTTTTTTTTTTTGGGTCTTGCTTTGAATGTCATAGCTAGGATTTCATTGCTTAATCCAAGGTCGTGAAGATTCTTCTGGTAGTCTGAGGGCCTTTTTCTTTTTGACATTAAAATTTTTAATCCATCTGGAATTTATTTTAGCTTAAATATTGAGATAGGCTGTGACTATTTTTCTCAATATTAACTAGCTCATATTTTCCTGTTCATTTATTAAATCATTTCTCCACTGTTTTAAAAAGCTAATTTGTATCATATCCTAATTTCTCAAGTACACATTTGAGCCAGTATTCCACTGTTTTCTAAGATGATTATCTACTTAAACACTTTAGATTCATATTTGGAGTTATTCTAGCATCTGAAATATTGGCATAGCATTTTCTAAAGCATTTTATCACAATTTACCTGGCATCATCTCTCGTAACTACCCTATGAAGAAGGCAGACGGGAGTGATAACAGATACAAGCATCCTGTTGACCTTTCTTTCTCATGTGGTTTTACTTTCTCCCCTATTCATACTATCATAATTATTTTATTAATCCATTCATTAATTTATAATATTTCATTATTTAAAACAGGCTTAGTGATGGGTTTCAAGTCTCTTTTGGCAGACAGAACTTCTAACATTCACCAAAACCATATCAGTGCTGAATGTTGGAAGCCCAGGGAAATGATGCTGATGTTTCTGTGGCAGGACGGTGGCACTGTGTGGGGTTCAAGTGTACAGGCCTTGGAATCAGAGAAACTAGGTTCAGATCTTGGGCCTGCTGTTTAGGTGTCATCTTGGGTAATTTACCTAACCTTTCTAAACCCTTAGTTTCCCATGTGTAATAGAAAGGTAATGATCACATTTTTCTCTCAGGTTGTGAGGCTCAAAAGGAGTAATATATGTAAAATGGGAGCCCAATGCCTGTGTTAGAGTAGGCAGGTAGGCAAGAACAGGAGGGGAGAAAGGACAGCAGGCCGCCCAGTCTTCTCCCAGAAAGCACCTTGTCTCTCTTAGGTCAGCCTCTTTCACGGTTCAACACAAACTGATAAACAAAAGATATGAGTCACTGGGACCTTGCTGATTTTAGAGCATATGCACTTAAAGAAGACCTTGTCGCTAATGACCCTGAGGCCATCATCATGTCATCATTACATCATCTATATCCCAATTTGGGCTCCGCCTAGAGTTTCTAGTAGATGCTCATGAGAAAAATGACAAACATACTTGTTCAAAGAAGCTAAAGGGGAGGGAACTAGTTGATCCGAAAGATAGTGTGAGGATGACAGAATGGGAGGGAGGAAACCAAACACACCCCATAGAAGACCCAGGTGCAAAACCCAGTGAACCGCTACCCACCTTTGGGGTCAGCCAGCTCCTCTCTCTTAGGAGTGTACTTTCCCTTCACTTTGCTAAATAAAAAACCCGGCAGCTTTAACTCTCTATTTGGTCTCTCAACTAAATTCTTTCCTTCCAGAAGATGAGAACCAAGGGATTCCACAATCCACGCTGGTTACACCTGGCACAGAATATATGCTCAAGAAACAAAGGTGGTCATAGTTATGGATTTGTGGTTGTTCAGATGCTTGAGTGCTTGGAACTGTGTCCGAAGTGTCTGATCTAATCATCTTTGCAGGATTCTTTGGTCCTTCGCCCATACACCTTTTCTCCTGGGCTTAGAAATTCTGTAATCTTTCTCCATAGATTTTTGTCTTCTGCTGCTTTTATGTCATAGTAATTCTGCATACATTACTTGGATAATGCCAAGCATACAGATACACTAGTAACTCTTGTGCCTTTTCTTCTCCTTTTGTTACTTCATAAGCAGTCTTTAACAGTGTAGTTTATTTAGAGATCACTGTCCAAAATGGTAAATTTGTATCTGGGAAAGTTTAATTGAACACAAGAGGCAAGGATCCCAGAGCCAAAAGAGCCAATGTGTTTTTGTTGGGGCCACTATTACCAGCACAAATCAAGCTCAAGCTAAGTAGAGAAGCCACCTCTAGTGCTGAAGAATGATTTACTTTCTTTGCTTTATAAAATTATTTATTTATTTATTTATTTATTTTATTTAGGTATCATTAATATGCAATTACATGACCAACGTTGTGGTTACTAAATTCCCCCCATTATCAAGTCCCCACTACATACCCCATTACAGTCACTGCCCATCAGCATAGTAAGATGCTATAGAATCACTGCTTGTCTTCTCTGCTATACTGCCTTCCCTGTGCCCCCTCCCTACATTATGTGTGCTAATCATAATGTCCTCTTTCCCCCTTCTCCCTCCCTTCCCACCTGTCCTCCCCAGTCCCTTTCTCTTTGGTAATTGTTAGTCCATTCTTGGATTCTGTGAATCTGCTGCTGTTTTGTTCCTTCAGTTTTTTCTTTGTTCTTATTCTCCACAGATGAGTGAAATCATTTGATACTTGTCTTTCTCCACCTAGCTTATTTCACTGAGCATAATGCCCTCTAGCTCCATCCAGGTTGTTGCAAATGGTAGGATTTGTTTTCTTCTTATGGCTGAATAATATTCCATTGTGTATATGTACCACATCTTCTTTATCCATTCATCTACTGATGGACACTTGGCTTGCTTCCATATCTTTGCTATTGTGAATAGTGCTGCAATAAACATAGGGGTGCATATGCTTTTTGAAACTGGGCTGCTGCATTCTTAGGGTAAATTCCTAGGAGTGGAATTCCTGGGTCAAATGGTATTTCTATTTTTGTTTTTTGAGTTACCTCCACAATGGTTGAACTAGTTTACATTCCCACCAGCAGTGTAGAAGGGTTCCCCTTTCTCCACATCCTCACCAGCATTTGTTGTTCCTAGTCTTTTCTATGTTGGCGATCCTAACTGGTGTGAGGTGATATCTCATTGTGGTTTTAATTTGTATTTCCCTGATAATTAGCAATGTGGAGCATCTTTTCATGTGCCTGTTGGCCATCTGAATTTCTTCTTTGGAGAAGTGTCTGTTTATATCCTCCACCCATTTTTTAATAGGATTATTTGCTTTTTGGATGTTGAGGCATGTGAGTTCTTTATATATTTTGGATGTTAACCCCTTGTCAGATATGTCATTTACAAATGTATTCTCCCATAGTGTAGGGTGCCTTTTTGTTCTGCTGATTGTATCCTTCGCTGTATAGAAGTTTTTTGGCATGATGTAGTCCCATTTGTTCATTTTTTATTTTGTTTCCCTTGCCCAAGGAGATGCGTTCAGGAAAAAGTTGCTCATGTTTATATTCAAGAGATTTTTGCCTGTATTTTTTTCTAAGAGTTTTATGGTTTCATGACTTACATTCAGGTCTTTGATCCATTTTGAGTTTACTTGTGTGTTTGGGGTTAGACAATAATCCAGTTTCATTCTCTTGCATGTAGCTGTCCAGTTTTGTGAACACCAGCTGTTGAAGAGGCTGTCATTTCTCCATTGTATATCCATGGCTCCTTTATCATATATTAATTGGCCAAGTATGCTTGGGTTTATATCTGGGCTCTCTAGTCTGTTCCATTGGTCTATGGGTCTGTTCTTGTGCCAGTACCAAATTGTCTTGATTACTGTGGCTTTGTAGTAGAGCTTGAAGTTGGGGAGCATAATCTCCCCAGCTTTATTCTTTCTTCTCAGGATACTTTGGTTATTCGGGATCTTTTGTGGTTCCATATGAATTTTAGAACTATTTGCTCTAGTTCATTGAAGAATGCTGTTGATATTTTGATAGGGATTGCATTGAATGTGTATATTGCTCTAGGCAGGATGGCCATTTTGACAATATTAATTCTTCCTATCCATGAGCACGGGATGAGTTTCCATTTATTGTTATCTTCTTTAATTTCTCTCATGAGTGTCTTGTAGTTTTCAGAGCATAGGCCTTTCACTTCCTTGGTTAGGTTTATTCCTAGGTATTTTATTATTTTTGACGCAATTGTGAATGGAATTGTTTTCCTGATTTCTCTTTCTGCTAGTTCATCATTAGTGTATAGGAATGCAACATATATCTGTGTATTAATTGCTTTATAAAATTCTTGAGCACTCTGCTACTGTTTATTACTCTTCTGTTTTTCTAAGAAGGTAGAGAAAGTAGAGAAATTCAACTTCTGACTTTACAGTTCATTAAGCATTTCAAAATGTGTTGTATATCTTGGGAGTTCACTGATAATGAAACTTTGCTGGGCAGAATCCATTATTCATTTTCATTATTCTAATTCTTTTGTAACCTGGTTTCCTGAATCTTGGCTATAAAAGCTGTCAGCAGATTACAGTTACAAGTAAGTAAAGGCAGTCTTTCCTCTAGCCATATCCAGTGTGGTCTGGCTGTAAAAGGTATAGCTGAATGAGTTGGCCTCTGCATAGGATGGTTTTCTTCCAGTGTGGCTTTCCTTGTTCTCCCTCCAGTGTGCATGCAGGCATGTGCAGGAGGGGCCTTGACCTCAGATATGAATTGTATCACATTCTATGCATTTGAGCTGGTTTATACCAGGTCTCTTTTCTTTCTATTGTGCGCTCATTCTTTCAGCATGCTGATGATCAGCATGTCTTTAGATCAGTTCCAAATTTTTTGAAATGGAAACAATTGACACTAAAGGATCATTTGAAGAATGAAGCAGCTGTGTGTCCTAGAAATATGACCTTGTGTTCTTGGGGAAAGACATTGTTATCTTTTTTATGGGAGACCTTTATGATAAGACCTAGAATGCAGGCAGTACAGGCAAGTGGCATGCAGGAATTGCTGGAACTTACGTCCTCCAGTCAGTTGCTGTAATAACGGGATGAAAGAGATCATTTCTTACTGAGGGTTGAGTCAATGACTTTTTGGAGCCTTTTTTCTTTTTCTTTTTTCTCTTCCACCCCCTCCTCTTCCTTCTTCTTCTTCACTCTGACTTTGACAAAGTGTATTTTGCTATTTGAAGTATGACATTATTGAACACTGCAGCATCTGAAATGATGTGAATAGGATTTGGGCTATGAACTACTAGACTTCAGTTAATAGCAATTGTAGTAATAACATGAATGACGTTAGTAATAATATAGAGGACCTAACCTTTGTTGAGCAGGTACTATGTTCAAGGCACCCTGTCATTTAGTCCTCACAATAACCCTTATTATCCTCATCGTACACATAAAGAAACTGAGGCTCAGAGAGATTAGTTTGCTAATCCAAGGTCATGTGGCTAGAAAGTGGTGCATTTCAACCCACGTCTGATTTTAGAGCTGAAAGTCTTACCCACTGTGCTGTACCTCTTCTCCATATTTATACTTTTCTTAGAATCACAGGATGTTGGTGCTGGAAAGGACTGTCTATGAAGGTGCCCCACCTTTTATTTCCTTCAAGTCTTGAAATCTTTTAGGGCAGGGAGCATGCATTGGGAAGTGGGACCGATATCACTTGTGGAGAGGACATACAGTGGGATGAAGATTGTAGAAAATAATTTTCCTGTGTGAACAAGAGGAAAGGCTAACTCTTCAGAATTGCAGTGCACTGAGAAGAGAAAATACAGTGAATGTGAAGGCCTGGCCACAGCAACCAGCATAGGTACCCCTCTTCCAGATACTAGTCTGCGTGGTAGGGTATCCCAGATCCAGTTTTCATTTTAGAATGGTAGAAACTGGGGGCCAGAGAGGCCCAGGTCACTGGTGAGTTGCTTCAGTAAAGGAAGTGGTCCATAAGACTGTATTCATGAATGTAGGGTCTGTGCCTGTCTTGTACACCCTTCTCTTTGCAATGAGCAACAATAAATAATAAGAGTATAAATTTGCTTAATTAATTAATTATTGATATTTAGGGTGCCTTGTTCGTGCTCTTGATTTCCCACCTTTGTGCCTGCTTTCTCTCTGACGCCACTGGTGCTGCTATTGGAGTTATCCAACTTGGAGGAGAAAGGAGAAAAAAATAAAAAACTGCCCGTCTTGTCATTTGAAAATCCCACTTACTTTGTTCTGAAATCTTGGTGGCCATTGTGAGCATCAGCAACTGCTAATGATGGCCCTGATATTTGGGACTTTACCTTCTTGTTTTGCACATATATTTCTGGAGATTAGAATAAGAAAAGGAAGAAGCTTCATCATTTCATTATCTCAGTTCCAAACGGGTAAAAGGCACATGAAAAGGGGACTCACACACATACACACAAAAGGAAAAAATCAACTCTTCTGGCCCAGTAGAGACCACCTGTAAGAAACTTTAAATGAATTTACCTTCAAAGTAGTAATAACTTGATAGAAACTTCAGGACAAGACAGCTGCCTTACATCTGAATGACTGATGCTACTCTCAGGGGCCCAGGGAATTGTAAAAATTTTATCTCCCTTCTAGGTAAGTCAGCCTGAATCAAAGTGAATTATAAGCTTGGTATATCAAAACACCTTTAACTTGTGCTTTCATTTTGGTTTGCCTTTTGACAGGATGTAATCACAGATCCATTCAAACTTGCAGAAGAGTCTGGCCACGCCAACTCCAGATGCCCCTCTGATGTTGCTAGAGGCTGCTGTGGTACAGAGAAAAGCTGCTAACACTGCAGCCAACCAGAAGACAGTGGGCTAAGGAATGAGCCACATACGTCTTTTTTTTAATATATACGTGTTTTAACCTGCTCTTTGCCATAGCACAGACCACAAGAAATAATGAATGGCAAAAAGCCCACCGTATTGTAGATCACTGATGAGAAAAAAAAAATTATTTTTAGAAGATATTTATTTAAGGTTCACAGCAAATCACCGAAGGGCTAGTTAAGCGGAAAATTTTCTTAATTAACTCAAAGTTCTGGTGCCACCTAGTGGTCATAAATGGAACTGAGAAACAGTCAAGGCCTGGCCAACCGGCAAAGCTTCAGAAATAAGCCGTTGGCAGAGTCTCAGAAAAAACATCTTACTTCTGCCCTGCATAGCACCTGTTGGACTTCTCACCATCTTTGCTTACTGAACAAAGCTCCTACTGAAACTATGCTAGTCATGCCAAAAGATTGCCAGATCAAATTTGGTAGGAGTGCTCTTGAAGTAACTGGTCTTTTAAATCAAACACTTAAAAAAATTTTTTGCAATTCAGTGAAAAAAAAAAATCAAAAGTTTTTTTGACCTCGGTTCATCCTCATGTATGACAACATAATGACTATTTCTAGTAAATTCTAACCAAATCAGGAAAAGAGTTTGATAATTTTTAAAAGAACTAGGAGATATAAAAATGGTAGGTTTTCTTTTCCTCTAGTTTCCATAATTAAAGGAGAAAATTGAGGACTATTTCAAGGATGATTACATCATTAGAAATTAAGAACATTAAAGTTTTGAGGGTGATTAAATAAACTGAAGTTCAGTTATACTTGGAGACTTTGTTGGGGGACGCAGAAAGGTATAAACCATACATGAGCAATGGTCTTTGTCATCAGAAGCTTATAGTTCTGTTTTTTAATAACAGCCTTTAAGCAATGAGGAGTTTTAGTAAGACAATCTCAACCAGTTGCTCTGAGCTCTGCAAAACAATGAGGAGGGAGCTGGCATGGCCCAGGAGATTTTTTGTTAAGGGTATGAGAATTTTTAGGCCTTGTAAAACATTGGAATGAATTCTACAGGCCAGACTCCTTTTTTATAAAGCTGTTAAAAATGGAGACATTCTCAGATTTCTAGGTGGGTCAGCTATAGACCCTCACTTACTACTACATATATATTTTAAGAATCCTATTTGACCTAGAATCTAGGAAAAATATGTATTAGGCAATATAAAATTAAAGTAGATATGTTTTGTCCAGAAAAATGCCATAAACAGTTATTTAAATATTCAAAATAGGTGAAATAGACAACTGGGAACAAAGAACCTTTGTAAGAGAGGTTGCCTCTTTCAGAGTGAAGTTCTTTGAAAGAGTGGATGGCACGTGACTCAGCTTGTTAGTTTAGATCTATATGGCATGTGATGTCAGGACCAGCTAAAGGGCAATGCTTCCTGTGCTGCCAGAGTGCGGTTTAGGAAGCTGCCTGTAGCTCTTCCAACAGCAGGCAAATTTCCCCCCACTATTTTACTATGGCAGTTTTCAAATACACAGAGAAGTTTAAGGAATTGCAGCAACTGCCCATTTACCTACCACCTGGATTGTACATTTGTTAACATCCTGCATTCACTTCATACATTTTAATATTATGCTTACTAAGGGCAGAGCCACAGAAACAGGGCCCTAATTCTTCCATAGCTACAAACCTTTTCCAAAAGATATTGGACTTAATGGTTTAAGGAGCAGATTTTCTTTTAATTGATTATTGTATCAATGACAGTATTTCCAGTCTTTCATTATCACAGGGAGAGGATTTATTTAAAAATCATGGAGCCTACAGTGGCTTTTCAGCTTACCTAGTGGGGAGGCCCAGCAGTAGCCCAAACAGGATCCCCACCTTTAGGCATGTATGCAAAGGTCATGGCTCTGTGCCAAGACTGCAGCAGAACTTGCCTCTCCTATTGATTCCTGACCTTTCATGGGATGGCTCCCAGGAAGCAGCGAAGGTAGTAACTGATTCTACCTTATCAGGTTGGGGGGCCTATTAAATGAGTCTGGCAAGGAATGTGAATCTATCCAACCGTTCTTTCATTTATTCACTAAATATTAAGTACCTGCTATGTACCGGGCACTGTCCTAGGCACGGATCACTAGTAATGGAATATTATGAACCCCGTGGGCCAACAGGACAAAAACAGCTAAGCATGGTTTCTAAACTTTGTTGGCACCTGTCCTAACTTCTGTGCTTAGCCAAGTTTCTTCAACCCCATACATACCCACCCCTCAATCTGGGCCTAAACAAGCGTCCTTCTGTAGCTCCTGCCCTAAGAGTTAGTAGAGGGAGACCTCAATAGATAATGAAAACAAACTCTTCTGCAAATATAAAGCTGGATTTACACTGCCCTAATAATAATCTATGATTTGACTTTTACTGCTTCATTCCAGTCTCTCTTCAGCTGCTGATCCAGCAATTCCTGTAAGCACAACCCCCACTGAGGTCAGTGGGAGTGTTACGTGAATGTAAGTTTTGTACTTACTCTTCTGCTGAGTGAGCCTTGCTTGTCTTGTATGGTCCCCTCCCCCAAGGGGAACCTGCTAGCCCCTCATTTCATGTAGCAGAGCCATGAAGTAGTGATATGCTCCAAGTGAGGAGAAAATCAACTTGGGACAAAAATGTTCTGCCCTAGTGCTATTCCATTGCATCATATAATAATAGCACAATGCCTCAGAGACATTGTCCAGACGCCAGAGAAAGTAAAAAAGTAGAATGGTGATGTTCTGGGTATACTATAAGCCTGGGTATACTTGAGTCTACTAACTTTTTAACCTAACCTAAAGCCCTTAACTTTCCTCTCATTCGTGGAATGAAAAGTGGTGCATGAGAAAGAAAGCAGGTATTCTTCCTAGATCTGGCTTAGCTGCTGAACTAGTTACTACTGCCCACTGGAAAATCATTTGTCTGCTTGTGGGTTCACTTGCCCTGTATGTAAAATAGGGGTGTTGAACTCAGTATACTCAAAGTTCCTTTCCAGGCTCAGAAACAGATATATGGATATAGATTTTGGAGGGGCCAAAGTGCTTTTAAAGTAGTTTGATTAAGTTGTGCATCTTTATAAATCAGAAGATTTTACATGACGTATGAAGTTCTGGCTTCTCTTGAAAAATTAGGGATGCCGGCACCATTAGCCCTGTATTTCTGCACAGGTGCGTGGTCAGCGTGAATAATGACTTCCCCTCCAAGCAAGGCATGTCCCTTTGGACAGTTGGCCACCATCCCTACCTAGTCAACTTTACTGAGCCCTGTAGGCTTTTGAGTTTGTGGCCCTGGTTTAGGACTAGAATTAGCACAGATTCATCCAAGTTACAAGTGAGAATTTTTTCCCCATTATAGTTCAAATGATGGCAGGTCTATGGTCTCATCTAGGACTCTGACTTATATATTTAATTCATCACAAGCAGGAGCCAAGAAGGCACGTGGAGCTTGGCGGGGATCCTCGCAGGAGGGGACCAAAGTGTGCTAGAGCTGTTTATGATAATGTGACATATAACTGAAAAGCCTAATGGTGTCAGGTGAGGTGGCCCGGATAGTTGATTCTCTCTTCCCAGAGTTAACAAGCTTCCATCATACATCTTTCTTTGTGAATATTAAATGAGCATCTTCTAGAAAGCAAAGCCTCAAAATGTCAGGTTGCTAGGGAGGAAAGATTTGCACAGCAAGTGCAGAAGGATTTGTATGGCTTCTAGGCTTAGTAATTAATCTTTTATTAACTGTCCTTATTTTCTTTTTTCTTACTGACCTTATTTTCCTTTCAATTGGATCTAACTAGAGAAATGTTGTGAAGGAGCTATTTTTATGTTTGCTTTTAACTAATGTTAACAGGAGCTCAGGAAATTGATGCAACCCTTTAAAAATGGTGATTTTTTGTGGTAATGCAGATGATTCATTGTGGCTATAAGCCGTGCCAAATATCCCAAGTTACTTCTTTGCCGTAAAGAACTCCCTTACACTTCCCTCCCAATACCGATTTTTCTGACTTTACAGAAGAGAAAACTGAGACTGAGGCTATTTAAATGATTTGCATGACGGGAGGACGGTCTAAAGTGTTAGAACCAAGACCAGAAGTAGGTCTACTGACGCCTATACCATTGTATTACAGGGTCCTTGTTCTACATTAGGGAAGTCCCAAATTTAAAAATAGAGCAACTGAAGAGGGAAATGATTACTATAAAAGTAAGAATAGTGGTTACATCTAGGGTGGAGGAGAGGGATGTGAACTAGACGGGCTACATAAGGTTTTTCACAATGAGGGGGTGCTTCCTTTACCATTATAAGTTATTACAAAATGAACACATCTGTGCCTGGAACTGTCCCAGTTTAAGCCTTAAACTAGGTTAATTATTAATAGCACCCTTTTTCACTCTCAAACAGGTTCTGTTTTGGATGATAAATTATTTGGTCAGCTATTATACATTTATATTTTGTGCACTTTTATGTATATTATATGTCAATTATTTATAAGTTCAAAAAAATACATCAGCAAATTTGACCGACAGGGTCTAGGCCAACGTGGGAAATCTTACATTTGCTCTAAGATTCCTGATTACTGCACAGAACACAGTGGCAGTAGCTAGGATTTGAGTGTAGACTTCCAGAACAGAGGGAGGGTGTGGTGCCCCCTCTTGGTTTTCTGGGGACTCCTCTAGCATGAGATAGTTATCTCTGTTTCTTTGTCCTACATGTAGCTGGAGAAGTGGTGTATCCCTTAGACCTAATTGTGAAGGTCAGTTAAGAGAATATATAAGAAAGGGCTTTGTAAACCATGAAGGTTTTTTTTCTACTCTGAGTGGCAGGAGTGTCCTAGATTGGCAGGGCCCCAGCATCATGGCATTGGCACCTGTCAGTCAATATTCCTATAATACAGCTCTTCTTTTAGAACTTTTTCTAGCTCCTGAGTGCCTAGAGAATGAGATCTGAACTCCTAAGCTTAGCATTCAACCCACCACAAATCAGCCCCTAGCAGCTTTACAACTTTATCCTTTATGTTCCTCTTCTTGAGCTCTAGAATCAAATTCAATCACACGGTGTTCCAAAAATGCTGCTCTCTTTCCAACCTCACCTCTCACTCTTCTCTTCATTAGAATGCTCTTTCTCTTTCTTCTCTCTCAATTTCTTTGTCACAGACTGAATATATGTCCCCCCCACCCCTGATTCATATGTTGAAGCCCTAACCCCCCAGTATTTGGAGATGGGGCCTCTAAGGAAGTAATTAAGGTTAAATAAGGTCCTAAGGATGGGGCCCTAATCCTGTAGGATTAGTGTCCTTATAGGAACAGATAGCAGAGAGCTCACACTCTGTCTCCACTCAAACTCAGAGGAAAAGCCATGTAAGGACAAAGGGGTTGTCTGCAAGCCAGGAGAACTCTCCTAGAAGCCAACTCTGCAGGACCTTGATCTGGGAAGTCTAGTCTTCAGGACTGTGGGAAAATGCATTTCTGTTGTTTAAGCCTCCCAGTACATGGTATTTTGTTACGGTGGACAGCAGATTTATACACACTTCTTGGATAGCTCTTACATCTGCATGTCTAAAATTTATCTGTTCTTCAAGGTCCAACTCAAAGACCATGAAGCTTTCCTCATGCCTTCCACTTTATTTGTGCTTCTTTTTAAGCCTTTTGATGTTCTATCTTGCATTATGGTCATTACTTAGTACATGTTTCCTAACCTCCTTGCTAGTAAGATTTTGGGGTAATATCTGATTTAATATTAAAGCTCCACAAGGCCTAGTACAGTGCCCGGACTTATTAGATACACAGTATATATTAGTTGAACGAGTGAATGAATGAATGAATGAATGAATAAAGGAAAAACAGAGAAAAGGGGGAAGAAATAAGACACAAAATTTTACTTAAACCTTAAGGAGGAAGCAGAGGTTTGAGATGTGGTATTAATAAATGGGGAGAAAAAAGTCTTCAGTTTTGTAATGTTTAAAATAAAACAAATACATATCTCAGAGGAACTAAAAATAGGGGCAGATTTTTTTCCCCCTGCTGAGGTCTGATGTGTTGTCTGTTTGTACAAGGGGGCCTGGCTTATTAGAGTAGAATCATTGCTCCACCTTCAGAGGATGTGAAAAAGAGGCCGTGGCAGCAAACTCAGCCGACATCGAGGCAGAGCAGGGCCTGAGACAAGTGTCATGACAGACTTTTCTCACCTGTGATGGAAACTGCTGAGATGTAAACAGTACAGTAAGTACAGGAGGGACCCCATCTTAAGGCTAAGATTCCATTTTAAAAAGCAGAGAGTTGAGAAGTAAGATTCCTAACATGTTCTCTGGTAATCAGATAATAACCCAACAGCCTATCTTAAGGCAGGGCAGGCAGTCTTAACTGATATGTCCTCACTGCTTGAGGGTAACCACTATCTTAGAGAAGAACGGGATAAATAAATCCCTTGTGTTGGGTTTATTTTAGCTGAATTAGCTGGAGGACTGGTAATAAAGGAATGGCAACATGGCATCTCTCCCCCAAGATAAGGACCTTGAGACTGCAAGTCAAGCCTATACCCAACAACCCCCGTCTGCCCTTTGCTCCATCCTTGAAAGCCTTAAAAAATAGAATCCCCAAACTTTCAGTGTGCCTCCTTTCTGAGGACACCCACACTTACCTTTCTTTAAGTACGTACTTTCAAATAAAGCTTTCTCACTGCTCAAATTATTGCGGTTTGTCTCTTTGCTATTTCATTGTATTTCCAAGTCTTCATCCTATCTCTGCTTTACTTTTAATAAGTAGGAAGGGGCTGCCAAGAGCTCAGATTTGGACCTGCATGTTTCCATCACCTGGGTGACCTGGACGAAACTGCAGCTGTGCGATTTGCTCTTAGTAGCCTGCCTGAAAATGTCCTTTCTTTGATAAATTCTCAGAACATGATCTCACTCCATCCTGTGCTCCATGGCTCCCCCAAATCCTGGGGTGGTAGGGGCTAGTCCCCATGCATTGCAGATCCAAGTGGACACAGGATGCCCAATGACCCTGGCTTCAGGAGTTGGCAGGGGAATCTGCCCTACACCGAAAACTTTCCCTCTTTTCCTCTTCACTTCCCTGTCCTCTGCTGCCTCCAAGGCAGCTGCCATTCTCTGCTGCTCTCACTCTAATGAATTCCTTCTTTACCTACACTCTTCTGACCTGCTTGAGAATTCTTTCTCGTTCAGTCAAGAACCCTCCCCATCCGGGTTGAGGTTTTCTCCTAGTGCTTCACCTAGTGCACAGGGAGAGACCTCCCCAGATGCAGCTGCCCAGCAACAATATGCCAAACTGGCATTGTATGACCCGAGTAATGATCATAAATCAAAGCTCCCGTGTCAGGCTGTGCAGGTCTGAATCTCCTGGGAGGGCTCAGAATGGTATATTCAGGATCTGATCTTTCCCCTGAAGTCCCATTCCGGGCTACCATCCTGTCAGTCTTCCTTATCTCCATTTATCATGATCTTGAGTTGAGTGTTTTCATCACAATAAGGATAATCGAGCTCAGAATGTTTCTTAGACTTTTGTCCAAGACTGAGCTGGAAGAGCAGTCAGAAAGAACACCCTAAAAGATTTGAGAAAATCCTGCTTTTCCAGGGCCTGTCAGTCAGGAGGACAAAGATCTTGGAACAAGGCAAACAGTGTACTTCTAGAAGCAGAAACATTCCCCTCTGAGTATCCCAGAAGGTCAAGTGGGGGAAAGAAATGGGTGATGGTACAGAGAGCAAACCTCTTGGGGCTGGCCCATGGGATGGGCAGGAGGGGCAGGCTCCCTGGGATAATGGGGTGTAGGGTGCTGTCCACTGCCTAGGACCCCACTGTGGAGAAATTCAGAGCTTTTGGAGGAGAGGAAGTACTCACACCTACCCGAATGCCTGACTCGAGGCTCTGGGATTCCTGGGAGGGGCTGCACCCAAGGATCTTGGACCCTTCTCAAGTGCGGAATTTACGCACAACTTCTTCAGAAAGCCATGTTTTTCTTTCTCTTCCTACCTCAGTGCCTATGTAGATAATATCTAGAAAAGCAGGAACATAGGATAACCTACTAAAAAAGCCTGAAAACTCCTCTAGAGAAGGTAAACGGTATTGCTGATTCGATTTGATTTGATTTTGGGTGTGTTTTTTTTTTGCCCACTATTGTGAAAGATTTTCATTTGAGCTACATGAGTTCCTGTGTATTTAAACAAGCAGACAGTGTTGCCTCAGGGGGAACAGATCTGACTCCAGGGAAAGTTTGGGTAACTTCAGCATTCACCTAATTCCTTTTTTTCCTCAGAAAACTTAGTGCTTCCGTGTGATTAAATGTCGTTGTTGAACTAATAACTTTGAATAGTTTTCTACAACAAGGCGATTTTCTGGGGAAAAGAAAAGCTTCCCTATAAAGCTAGAGCTTTATGTTGAGAAACCCAATGTGTGGAGAGCTATTTGGTGTTTTACTTGCAATCTTTAGAGATTTGCAAAATTTTGAGAAACTTTAAGAAAGTCAAACTCCAAAGACTTCTAGGTCATGATGCGCTGCTTCCCCAAATCCAGAACCCGCAGATATGGGAGTTTATCTTTTGCAGTTGAGATAATTGAACTCTTCCCCTTTACTGTTCAGTGAAGGATTCTGGTGACAGAAGGTTACTTTGGAAAGGTATTTTCTAAGAGGTTCTAGCTTTGCTTAAAGGACTTGGTTAAGGTCAAAGTCAGAAGCTACCTAGGATTAGATATCTGTAGCAACCGTTTGGCAATGTTAGGCCTTTTTTTAAAAATTTATTTTTATTTTGATATTGTCAATGTACAATTACAAGAGCAACATTATGGTTACTAGACTCCCCCTATTTTCAAGTCCCCACCACATACCCCATTACAGTCACTGTCCATTAGCGTAGTAAGATGCTATAGAATCATTACTTGTTTTCTCTGTGTTATATTGCCTTCCCCGTGTCCCCCTGTCACTATATTATGTGTGCCATTCGTAATACCCCTTTTCCCCCTTATCCCTCCCTTCCCACTGATCTTCCCCAGTCCCTTTCCCTTTGGTAACTGTTAGTCCATTCTTGGGTTCTGTGAGTCTGCTGCTGTTTTGTTCCTTCAGTTTTTTCTTTGTTTTTATACTCCACAAATGAGTGAGATCATTTGGTAATTGTCTTTCTCTGCATGGCTTATTTTACTGAGCATAATACCCTCTAGCTCCATCCATGTTGTTGCAAATGGTAGGATTTGTTTTCTTCTTATGGCTGAATAATATGCTATTGTGTATATGTACCACATCTTCTTTATCCATTCATCTACTGATGGACACTTAGGTTGCTTCCATTTCTTGGCTATTGTACATAGTGCTGTGATAAACACAGGGGTGCATATGTCTTTTTGAAACTGGGCTCCTGCATTTTAGGGTAAATTCCTAGGAGTGGAATTCCTGGGTCAAATGGTATTTCTTTTTTTAGTTTTTTTGAGTTACCTCCATACTGCTTTCCATAATGGTTGAACTAATTTACATTTCCACCAGCAGTGTAGGAGGGTTCCCCTTTCTCCACAACCTTGCCAACATTTGTTGTTGTCTGTTGGATGGTGGCCTAACTGGTGTGAGGTGATATCTCATTGTGGTTTTAATTTGCATTTCTCTGATGATTAGCAATGTGGAGCATCTTTTCATGTGCCTATTGGCCATCTGAATTTCTTCTTTGGAGAAGTGTCTCTGCCCATTTTTTAATTGTCTTATTCGCTTTTTGTTTGTTGAGGTGCGTGAGCTCTTTATATATTTTGGATGTCAACCCCTTATCAGATCTGTCATTTATGAATATATTCTCCCATACTGTAGAATGTCTTTTTGTTCTATTACTGGTATCCTTTGCTGTACAGAAGCTTTTTAGTTTGATATAGTCCCACTTGTTCATTTTTGCTTTTGTTTCCCTTGCTCAGGGAGATATATGTACATGAAGAAGTCGCTCATGTTTATGTCCAAGAGATTTTTGCCTGTGTTTTTTTCTAAGAGTTTTATGGTTTCATGACTTACATTCAGGTCTTTGATCCATTTTGAGTTTACTTTTGTGTACAGGGTTAGACAATAATCCAGTTTCATTCTCTTACATGTAGCTGTCCAGTTTTGCCAACACCAGTTGTTGAAGAGGCTTTCATTTTCCCATTGTATATTCATGGATCCTTTATTGTATATTAATTGACCATATATGCTTGAGTTTATATCTGGGCTCTCTAGTCTGTTCCATTGGTCTACAGGTCTGTTCTTGTGCCGGTAGGAAATTGTGTTGATTATTGTGGCTTTGTAGTAGAGCTTGAAGTCAGGGAGCAAAATTCCTCCCACTTTATTCTTCCTTCTCAGGATTGCTTTGGCTATTTGGGGTCTTTTGTGGTTCCATATGAATTTTAGAACTATTTTCACTAGTTCATTGAAGAATGCTGTTGGTATTTTGATAGGGATTACATTGAATCTGTAGATTGCTTTAGGCAGGATGGCCATTTTGACAATATTAAGTCTTCCTATCCATGAACATGGGATGAGTTTCCATTTACTGGTATCTTCTTTAATTTCTCTCATGAGTGTCTTGTAGTTTTCAGAGTATAAGTCTTTCACTTCCTTGGTTAAGTTTATTCCTAGGTATTTTATTATTTTTTATGCAATTGTGAATGGAATTGTTTTCCTGATTTCTCTTTCTGCTATTTATCATTAGTGTATAGGAATGCAAGAGATATCTGTGTATTAATTTTGTATACTGCAACTTTGCTGAATTCAGATATTAGATCTAGTAGTTTTGGAGTGGATTCTTTAGGGTTTTTTATGTACATTATCATGTCATCTGCAAACAGAGACAGCTTGACTTCTTCTTTACCAGTCTGGATGCCTTTTATTTCTTTGTGTTGTCTGATTGCCATGGCTAGGACCTCTAGAACTATGTTGAATAAAAGTGGGGAGAGTGGGCATCTTTGTCTTGTTCCCGATCTTAAAGGAAAAGCTTTCAGCTTCTCACTGTTAAGTATAATGTTGGCTGTGAGTTTGTCATATATGGCCTTTATTATGTTGAGGTACTTGCCCTCTGTACCCATTTTGTTGAGAGTTGTTATCATGAATGGGTGTTGAATTTTGTCAAATGCTTTTTCAGCATCTATGGCAATGATCATGTGGTTTTTGTCCTATTTTTTGATGTAGTGGATGATGTTGATGGATTTTTGAATGTTGTACCATCCTTGTATCCCTGGGATGAATCCCACTTGATCATGATGGATGATCTTTTTGATGTATTTTTTAATTCAGTTTGCTAATATTTTGTTGAGTATTTTTGCATCTATGTTCATCAGGGATATTGGTATGTAATTTTCTTTTTTGGTGATGTCTTTGCCTGGTTTTGGTATTAGAGTGATGTTGGCTTCATAGAATGAGTTTGGGAGTATTCCCTCCTCTTCTACTTTTTGGAAAACTTTAAAGAGAATGGGTATTAGGTCTTCACTAAATGTTTGATAAAATTCAGCAGTGAAACCATCTGGTCCAGGTGTTTTGTTCTTAGGTAGTTTTTTGATTACCAATTCAATTTCTTTGCTGGTAATTGGTCTATTCAAATTTTCTGTTTCTTTCTGTGTCAGCCTTGGAAGGTTGTATTTTTCTAGAAAGTTGTCCATTTCTTCTAGATTATCCAATTTGTTACTATATAATTTTTCATAGTATTCTCTCATAATTCCTTGTATTTCTGTGGTGTCTGTAGTGATTTTTCCTTTCTCATTTCTGATTTTGTTTATGTGTGTAGACTCTTTTTTTCTTGATAAATCTGGCTAGGGGTTTATCTATTTTATTTTCTCTAAGAATCAGCTCCTGTGTTCATTGATTCTTTCTTTTCTTCTCAATTTTATTTATTTCTGCTCTAATCTTTATTATATCCCTCCTTCTACTGACTTTGGGCCTCATTTGTTCTTCCTTTTCTAGTTTCATTAATAGCGAGTTTAGACTGTTCATTTGGGATTGTTCCTCTTTCCTGAGGTAGACCTGTATTGCAATATATTTTTCTCTTGGCCAGCCTTTAGTGTGTCCCATAGATTTTGCGGTGTTGGATTATTGTTGTCATTTGTCTCCATATATTGCTTGATCTCTGTTTTTATTTGGTCATTGATCCATTGATTATTTAGGAGGATGTTATTAAGCCTCCATGTGTTTGTGGACTTTTTCATTTTCTTTGTGTAATTTATTTCTAGTTTAATAACTTTGTGATCTGAGAAGCTAGTTGATACAATTTCTATCCTTTTGAATTTACTGAGGTTCCTTTTGTGGCCTAGTATATGATCTATTCTTGAAAATGTTTCCTGTGCACTTGAGAAGAATGTGTATCCTGTTGCTTTTGGATGGAGTGCTCTGTAGATGTCTGTTAGGTCCATCTGTTCTGATATGTTGTTCAGTGCCTCTGTCTGTTTACTTATTTTCTGTCTGGATGATCTGTCCTTTGGAGTGAGTGGAGTGTTAAAGTCTCCTAAAATGAATGCTGCATTCTATTTCCCCCTTTAATTCTGTTGGTATTTGTTTCGCATATGTAGGTGCTCCTGTGTTGGTGCATAGGTATTTATAATAGTTACATCCTCTTGTTGGACTGACCCCTTTATCATTATGTAATGTCCTTCTTTGTCTCTTGTTACTTTCTTTGTTTTGAAGTCTATTTTGTCTGATACAAGAACTGCATCTCCTGCTCTTTTCTCCATATTAGTTGCATGAAATATCTTTTTCCATCCCTTTACTTTCAGTCTGTGTATGTCTTTGGGTTTGAAGTGAGTCTCTTGTAGGCAGCATATAGTTGGGTCTTGTTTTTCTATCCATTCAGTGACTCTATATCTTTTGATTGGTACATTCAGACCTTTTACATTTAGGGTGATTATTGATAGGTATGTTCTTATTGCCATTGCAGGCTTTGGATTCATGGTTACCAAAGGTTCAAGGGTAATTCCCTTACTATCTAACAGTCTAATTTAACTCACTTTGTATGCTATTACAAACACAACCTAAAGATTCTTTTTTTTTCCTCCTCCATTTTTTATATGTTATGAATCATATTCAATACTCTTTGTCTAGCCCTTGGGTGACATCTGTTTATCCTTAGGAATACTTCCATCTGTAGGAGTCCCTCCAAAATGCACTGTAGAGGAGCTTAGTGGGAGGTAAATTCTCTCAGCTTTTGCTTATCTGAAAATTGTTTAATCCCTCCTTCAAATTTAAATGATAACCTTGCTGGGTAGAGTATTCTTGGTTCAAGGCCCTTCTGCATCATTGCATTAAATATATCATACCGTGCCCTTCTGGCCTGTGATGTTTCTGTTGAGAAATATGATGATAGCCTGATGGGTTTTCCTTCATATGTGATCTTTTTTCTCTCTCTAGCTGCTTTTAAAAGTCTGTCTTTATCCTTGATCTTTGCCATTTTAATTATTATATGTCTTGATGTTGTCTTCCTTGGGTCCCTTGTGTTGGGAGATCTGTGTACCTCCATGGCTTGAGAGACTATCTCCTTCCCCAGATTGGGGAAGTTTTCAGCAATTACCTCCTCAATGACACTTTCTATCCCTTTTTCTAGTTCTTCTTCTTCTGGTACCCCTATAATGTGAATATTGTTCCTTTTGGATTGGTCGCACAGTTCTCTCAATATTCTTTCATTCTTAGAGATTCTTTTTTCTCTCTGTGCCTCAAATTCTTTGTATTCCTCTTCTCTAATTTCTATTCCAGTTACCGTCTCTTCTAGTACATCTAATCTGCTTTTAAATCCCTCCATTGTATGTTTCATTTCAGATGTGGAATTTCTTAATGATTGAATCTCCATCTTAAATCTGTTCCTGAGTTCTTGAATATTTTTCTGTACCTCCATAAGCATGTTTATGAGTTTAATTTTAAACTCCCTTTCAGGAAGATTGGTGAGTTCAGTTTCATTTTGCCCTTTTCTGGCGTTTGTGAGATTTTGGTCTGAACCATGTTCTTTTGACGTTTCATATTTCTGTGTGTTGCCCTTTCATGCCCAGAAGCTCTAGTGTCTGGAGCTGCTCAGCCCCTAGAGTGAGGTTGGGGTCATCGGGGAGTGGAGCTGGTGCCTGGGGGGAGGACAGAACTGTTTCCTTATTCCTGTCTGCCATTCCTGTCTACGGTATCAAAGCCAGTGAGCCGAGCACCCAGGTGTAAGCCTCTGTGCTTTGTGTCTCTAGCTGTTGTAGGCGGGGCCTCCCTCTGGCTGGCCTGACTTCAGCGCAGTGACTGCTGGTTTGTGAACCGGTGCCATCAGGCCAGTAGGAAGGCTTAGCAGGCTGTGTGTCGCAGTGGGGGGGCCTCAGAGCTGAGTAGGCAGCCAGGGGGATGGAGTGCCTGAAGCTCCTCAAAGTTCCCAATCTGCTGGGCAGAGCATGCCCAGACAACCTTGTCCCCCTATCCCTTCTCCTGCACAGCAAGCTCCGTGCAAACCCTGTCCCTTCAGCAGCCCTCTCACTGCTAGGAATCCTCTCAGACCACCTGCCTTTCCCTTGCCCCAGGGCAGCCGGGTGTGGATCCCGTCCTCCACAAATGGCCAGAATCTGTCTCTGAAGCACTCTGCCTGTCCCAGCTCCCCAGCCTCCAGTACACCACACAATGTACCTCAAAGGTCTCACAAAGCAGACCTCCAGGGCTGGGTGTTCAGCAGTCCCAGGCTTCCACCCTCTCACTGCTCCATTTCTCTTTCTCCTGCCAGTGAGCTGGGGTGGGGGAAGGGCCTGGGCCCCGCCAGATCAAGGCTTTGCTACGTTACCCTGTTTCGTGAGGTCTGCTCTGGTGGTGAGGTCTGTATGCAGTCTGGTTCAGCCTTCTTTCCTGTTGCTGTTGTAGGGTTAGTTGTGTTAACTATATTTTCATACTATCTGTGGTTCTGGTTGGAGTTCTCTGTCTCACCTCTCATGCTGCCATCTTGAATCTTCTGTCCAATCTTAGGCCTTTTGTAGCCCTTTCTGGAGATGGCATATGATCAGAATTCAGTTTCCTTTTTTTTTTTTCTTCTTCCAGACTTAGAGAGATCCCTAGAAGCAAGTTGCCCTTGACCTCCTTTCATATGGACGGATAGACTGGGTGGCCCCTGGAAGTCATGAGAAGCCTGCACCAGCAGCCCTCACTGAAGGGAGGATAACCCCTTGAACTAAAAAGCCTGCAAACTTGAAAGATCCTTCTTGCTAAGGAAAAATTACTTGGCTTGGGTATCTAGATTGCTCTGTGTCTTGAGCATACATGAAGAATATGACCCCAACCCCCACCCCCATACCACCCAGATTAAACATCACTCAGCAATCCCCTGTGTGAATTTGAACTTGGTTTATTTTACATTGTAAATTGTCATGTTGGATCCTTTTCTGACATTTTTGCTATGAAATCCTGAATTTCTAACTTGTTTCTGAATTGCTAAATGCCACAGTTTCCTGTTCTTGCTTTCTCTGAAATGCACAGGAATGTCTGTAGGTTTGGCCAGCTCTCCCCCACCTCCTTCTCCACACTCTTAGTACAGAAGTGTATATTCAGTATTTGAGAGTCTTTAATCATCTTCCCTCTTAGCTCCTTCAAACACCCTTGTACTCACACTTTTTATGAAGTTAAAACAGTCTCATTTTCAACCAGCTGACTTAGAAAGACCATAGTCATCTTTAACCTTTGTCAGATATCCCTACACATCTCAACTTCTTTTTCTTCTAAACTTTTAAAATGCTGTTTTTAAAAATGCATGCCAAGTCTGTGAATCAGGTTTTTTTTCATCTGAACCTATATTTCAAATAGAGAAGTAAGAGAATTGGGAGTGGGAAATGCAGCACCAGAAACCGAAGGGCTGCAAACTAGAGTTAGGGACATTTCTTGAAATAATCAGAATAAAAATTCTTTCATTTCCTTAACATTCTACAGTATTGTTTCAAACATCTACCACTATTCTAGGCCTTGGTGATGCAGTGGTGAACAAAACCAACAAAATCCTTGCCCTTGGGAAGCTCAAATTCTAGTGGAAGGAGACAGATAAGTTAAATAAAGGAAAATAAAGCAGAGACAGAGTCCAGGGAATGTTCACAAGTTTTAAAAACAGGTGACCTTTGAGAGGGGAACTGATGGGCTGTGCTGACATCTGGGGGAAGAAAGCCCAGGCCCGGGAAACAAATAGCACATACACACACTCCCAGGGAGCATCCCCAGAATGAATGAGAAGCAGCTAGGAGAAAGTGGCTGGAGCGGCAGGTAATGAGGTCAGAGAAACAAGGGGAGGCAGTAGACCCTTTAGAGCCTTATTGGATGTTGTAGGTATTGTGGCTTTACTGTGGTGAGATGGGAAGCCATAGGAGATTTTCAAACAAAAAAGCAACAGGATCTGATTTAAGAAATCCACTCAGGCTGCTGGGTTGAGAAGGGAAGGGGACAGGTATAGAAGAGGCAATCACCCCTATTAGAAATGAATCAGAAACGTTTGATTGGTTAACAAAAAGGGAGGAAAAATGTGCTTGCAGAATACAAAAAAATAAGACAGCAATTAATTTTGGGGTGTTTACATTGCAAGAAAAAGTCAATTTGGCAGTTGCTGTGCTCCTGTGTCTTGAGATACAGTGGGCTTGGGAGTCCTGGGGAGCTAGTTCTTGAGGATTCTTTTCTGCTGAGCCACCTATGAACCTAGTAGGGTTTGGTCAGTGTGACTAAGAATGAGCCTTACCAACATCCAAAAGACAAGGAACAACAAATACTGGCGAGGATGTGGAGAAAGGGAACCCTCCTACACTGTTGGTGGGAATATAAACCATTGTGGAAAGCAATATGGAGGTCCCTCAAAAAACTAAAAATAGAAATACCACTTGACCTGGAATTCCACTTCTAGGAATTTACCTGAAGAAAACAAGATCCCTGATTCAAAAAGACATATGCACCCCTATGTTTATCCCAGCATTATTTACAATAGCCAAGATATGGAAGCAACCTAAGTGTCCATCAGTAGATGAATGGATAAAGAAGATGTGGTACATATACAAAATGGAATATTATTCAGCCATAAGAAGAAAACATATCCTACCATTTGCAAGAGCATGGATGGAGCTAGAGGGTATTATGCTCAGTGAAATAAGCCAAGCAGAGAAAGACAAGTACCAAATGATTTCACCCATCTGTGGAGCATAACAACAAAGCAAAACTGAAGGAACAAAACAGCAACAGACTCACAGACTCAAGAAGAGACTAGTGGTTACCAAAGGGAAGGAGTTGGGACGGGGAGGGAGGGAGGGAGGGAGGAAGAAGGGAATTAAGGGGCATTATAATTGGCACACATAATAAAGGTAGGTCACGGGGAAGGCAGTATAGCACGGAGAAGACAAGTAATAAGTCTATAGCACTTTACTACCCTGATGGACAATGACTGCAGTGGGGGGAGACTTGATAATATGGGTGAATGTTGAAACCACAATGTTGCTCATGAGAAACCTTCATAAGATTGTATATCAATGATACCTTAGTAAAAAAAAAAAAGAATGAGCCTTAATGGGTGTGCTTAGGATGGATGCCCCCTCCCATTTCCCAAATTTGCCTGGGTGCCTGTAAGAAATACAGATTCCTGGTTCTTACCCCTTCAGTAAGAATGGATGGGGTCCAGGAAAAATATATTTTCAGCCAAGAATTTAAGGGGATTCTTTTTTTGTAACTGAGGTAAAATTGGTATGTTATATAAGTTTCAGGTGCACATTATAAATCTATATTTGTACATTACAAAGTGATTACCAGCTCAAGTCTAGCTACCATCCACCACCATATAATTAAGCCCCTTCATCCATTTTACCCGCCCCCAAACCCCTTTCCCCTCTGTTAACCACCAATCTGTACTCTGTATCTGTTTTCGTTTCATTTTTTTAGATTCCATATATGAGTGAAATCATATTTGTCTTTCTTCATCTTGTAAGGATATAGTAATTTATCCTCCATTTGCCCCATGGTCCCAAGCACATAAGCCAGTGAGAATTATGTCTGGGCTTGCCTGGGGCTTCACTGGGCTTACCCGGCCTTATCTCTGAACTTCCCGACCCTCCCCCAAGGCAACCGGCCGAGGGGTTCCACCACAATAAAAGGCACCACGCTGCTGCCCTCTCTCTCTCTCTCTTTCTCTGTCTCTCTCTGTCTCTGCTACCCTCTCTCTCTTTGTCTCTGTCTCTCTGTCCCCCTGCTCCCCACCCCTCTCTCTCCCCACCCTCCTCTGGGGGCAGCCACTCTCTCCTTCAGATAAAGTCTTTTGCGTGGGCCTGTGGCTCCTGAGTCATTCTGGGTAAGGAGGGTCGTGGCGAGATACCCTTTCACATCTGATTTATTTCACTTAGCATAATGCCCTCAAGTTCTATACATATTGCAGCAATGGTAAGATTTTCTTCTCTTTTACAGCCAAGTGGTATTATATTGCATACATATACCACGTCTTCTTTATCCACTCATCCATTGATGGACAGTTAGGTTGTTTCCACATCTTAGCTATTGTAAATAATGCTTTAATGAACATAAGAGATTTATATAACTTTTTGAATTAGTGTTTTCATATTTTTTGGATAAATACCCATAAGTGGAATAGCTGGTTCCTTTTTCTACACATTCTCTTTGTTGCTTGTTATTTCTTGTCTTTTTGATAGTAGCCATTCTAACAGGCATGAGGTACTGTCTCATTGTGATTGGTGTGCATTTCCTTGATAGTGATGTTCAACTAATCATGTGTTTGTTGGTCATCTGTATGTCTTCTTTGGGAAAATGTCTAATTAAATCCTCTGCCAATTTTTTAATCAGGTTTTTTTGTATGTGTGGTTGTTGAGTCGTTTGAGTTCTTTATATATTTTGGATATTAACCCCTTATCAGATATATGATTTGCAAGTATCTTCTCCTATTCAGTAAGTGGCCTTTTTGTTTTGTTGATGGTTTCCTTTGCTGTGCAGTCTTTTTAGTTTGATGAAGGTTTTAATTGCTTATTTTTGGTTTTGTTTCCCTTGTGTTTGAAGTCAGATCCAAAAAAACATTACCAAGACCAATGTCAAGGAGCTTGCCCTTATGTTTTCTTTTAGGAATTTTGATGGTTCAGGTCTTACCTTGAAGTCTTTAATCCATCTTGAATTAATTATTGTTTATGGTATAAGATGGTCTAGTTTTCCCAAGACTACTTACTGAAGAGACTACCCTTTCCCCATTGTATATTCTTGGTTCTTTTATTGTAAATTAATTTTATATGTGTGGGCTTATTTCTGCTCTACTCTGTTCCATTGATCTATGTGTTTTTATGCCAGTACCATACTGTTTTAGTTACCACAGCTCCTTAGTATAGTGAGAGGATTCTTACGACCTGGAGGATGGAGAAACTGCTTCATTCTGACCTCCCCACTTCCCGCACACCTTTTGGGTTTGCGGTGGACCTTGAGAGTGCAGGTTGCCCATGTGACCGACAGGTGGCGCCACCTGACCGCGAGCTGCAGAGCCCGAGTATCCCTTAGGGAGCGGTGAAATGCTCCACAGGAGTGGGTTCAATGGATGCTTGGGGCCACCGACCTCTGCTTGTGTATTCTGCAGGCGGAGCGGTGCGCACGAGTAGAGGTGGGTGGCTGGGTCGTGTCCTGGCTTCTTTTTCGGCTAATACGCATCTCAAGCCGTCCTTAGTCAGCTTTCAGACCACTATGGCAACCCTCTCTACACCCGCAGTGAACACTGGGGAGCGGGCAACGCAGGGCAGCGAGAACAGATTCCCTCGCGCCTCAGTACTTTCGCTCAACTCCGCCAACCCAGACGCTGGGATCTACTACCGAAGCCCCTCAGCGAGAGTCGTACCGGCGGACAGTTCCTTCTCATTGGCAGTTAGACGGGAGGCCCCGCCCACCCTCGTTCAGCTCTCATCTGTGATTGGCTCTCGGGCTCTAGCTGGCCACACCTCCTCCCCTCGCACATACACAAGAGTCACGCGCTTTTCAGTTGGAAACTTGGCGTGCTGAGGAGGACAGTGCCCATCGCTCCACCCACGTACCTTGCCATTGGTCAGCGGCGCCACTCACGGCCACGCCCCCACCCCAGCCCCCTGACTGGGGGGACGGGCGCCCGTTTATGATTGGCTGGTTGGCCTGCCTCTCGCTGGAGCGGCTAGCTCTTCCCCCGCCCCTTTCTCCTCCCGCTAGCCTCCAGGTTTCTCAGCTGGTGGGGGTCGTGTCAGTGTCAGGCAGGGAGGCGGACCGCTGAGCTCTAAGTGCCGACGCTCCATCGCAGTGTTGCTCAGGCGTCGGTGCCTGCGCTCGCGCCGCCGGGTGGAAAGGATGAAGCTGCAGCTGGAGCAGCCACCCTATGATTGGCTGTGGCGCTTGTGAACCCGAAGTAAAGATGGCGGGCGGGCAGGCAGCCGCCGCACTGCCCACTTGGAAGATGGCGGCACGCCGCAGCCTCAGCGCCCGCGGCCGGGGGTTCCTGCAGGCGGCGGCGGGGCGCTTGCTGCTGCTGCTGCTGCTGAGCTGCTGCTGCGGCGCGGGCGGCTGCGCGGCGGCGGGCGAGACCGAGGAGACCGTGATCATCGGGTTGCGGCTGGAGGACACGAACGACGTGTCATTCATGGAAGGGGGGGCGCTGCGGGTGAGCGAGCGGACCCGGGTCAAGCTGCGGGTGTATGGGCAGAACATCAACAACGAGACGTGGTCCCGCATCGCTTTCACCGAGGAAGAGCGGCAGCGCCACAGCCCTGGCGAGCGCGGGCTCGGAGGCGCCGCGCCGCCAGAGCCGGACAGCGGTCCCCAGCGCTGCGGCATCCGCACTTCAGACATCATCATCCAGCCCTACATCGTTCTCAACCGCCGCACCTCGGGCATCATTGAGATCGAGATCAAACCGCTGCGCAAGATGGAGAAGAGCAAGTCCTATTACCTGTGCACGTCGCTGTCCACGCCAGCGCTGGGCACCGGCGGCCCGGGGTCCGTGGGTGGCACGGTCGGGGGCAAGGGCGGCCCGGGGGTGGCCGGGCTTCCGCCGCCCCCCTGGGCCGAGACCACCTGGATTTACCACGACGGCGAGGACACCAAGATGATCGTGGGCGAGGAGAGGAAGTCCTTGCTGCCCTTCTGGCTGCAGGTGATCTTTATTTCGCTGCTTCTGTGCCTGTCGGGCATGTTCAGCGGCCTTAACCTGGGGCTCATGGCCTTGGACCCTATGGAGCTGCGCATCGTGCAGAACTGCGGCACCGAGAAGGAGAAGAATTACGCCAAGCGCATCGAGCCCGTGCGCAGGCAGGGCAACTACCTGCTGTGCTCGCTGCTGCTGGGCAACGTGCTGGTCAACACCACGCTCACCATCCTGCTCGACGACATCGCCGGCTCAGGCCTCGTGGCGGTGGTGGTCTCCACCATCGGCATCGTCATCTTCGGGGAAATCGTGCCGCAGGCCATCTGCTCCCGGCATGGCCTGGCAGTAGGGGCCAACACCATTTTCCTCACCAAGTTCTTCATGATGATGACCTTCCCTGCTTCTTACCCGGTTAGCAAGCTGCTGGACTGCGTCCTGGGCCAGGAGATAGGCACCGTCTATAACCGGGAAAAGCTGCTGGAGATGCTCCGGGTCACCGACCCCTACAACGACCTCGTTAAGGAGGAGCTGAACATCATCCAAGGGGCTCTGGAGCTCCGCACCAAGACAGTGGAGGACGTGATGACTCCCCTCCGAGACTGTTTCATGATCACCGGGGAAGCCATCCTGGACTTCAATACCATGTCGGAGATCATGGAGAGCGGCTACACTCGCATTCCAGTATTTGAGGGAGAGCGCTCCAACATTGTGGACCTCCTCTTTGTCAAAGACTTGGCTTTCGTGGATCCAGATGACTGTACTCCCCTGAAAACCATCACTAAATTTTATAACCACCCCTTGCATTTTGTTTTCAATGACACCAAGTTGGACGCTATGCTGGAAGAATTTAAGAAAGGTGGGAAATTTTGTAACTTTCATTGGCTTGCTCTTTCTCTCTCCATCCTCCTCCCTACTTGAGCCCTCCCTACTCCTCAGACCAACCCCCCCAAGGCGAGTTGACCGGAATTTCTCCTTTCTCTTAATTGCAAAGTTGAAAGGGTGGCATGGATTTGGGGAAGGATTGAACTAGTAAGCGCTTCTAGATCCTTTAAAAGCACAAAATTGCCATCACTTGCTTTTTCCCTTATCAAAAAGCAGGCTTCTTTCTTTCTGTGCAGGATGCCTACCCCCATCGTCTCGAGGGAGCTGCTGCATTTGTTGCCTGGGTTCTGAGTGGGAAGGCTAAAGTAGGGGCTGGCTAATGCCATGCTATGCCATTTGGTTGACATGTATTAATCACAGACATTTGGAGAATATTTAAATAGCTTTTCTAAGCCCAATACAGTCCTTTGCTTCCTCCTTAAAACGTTCAGTGAAATGTTTCAGAGATTGGAAGTGCATTTTCCATAGTTTTTTCGGCTTGTCTGGCGATCTGTGGGGAAGATTGAGGTCTGCCTTTGAGGGGTAAGACAAGTATCACCAAAAACATTCACCCATTTGAATGTGACTTGCTTTAGCTAGAAAAGAGGGCTTAAAAAAAACCAACCTAAAGTTATTAATAAATAACTCAGCAAGACTAGAGGTAAGTTAACCTTTTATGAGGCTATCTTAGCTAGCTTTGTTTACATTTACGTGACAGCAAATAAAATTTCCCAAACCTCATGTGATTTTGGCAGCAAGCTTGAACCCTTAACAATGGTACAGATCCTTCTATTGTGGTTTATCTATTACCTAGATGTCTTTCTAGTTTAAAACTGTTCTTTTTAACCTTGACCACCTGGTATATTAAATTGAAGTATGTCTCCAAGTCAACGCTCACTGTTCCAGGGACTTTTAACAGGGAAGAGAAATGCGGTCTATGTGCTCACCTTTCTTGCACTGTGGTGTTTTTGTTTGTTTACACTGAAATGGGCAGGTAAATAGCAACTCTTACCACCATTCAGGAACTCTATTTTTTAAAAAGTTTCCAGTTAAGTAGTTGATATTATTACTTAAAAACCAAAGGGTGCTGAGCTGTTTAATTGCTAAGATGCTAGTGTATGTGCAGGTGTTAAAGTGTGTGTGTAACATAACCTTTAATGAACTGGTAGTCCTCAAAACTAGGGTATTCTTCAAATAGAATTCTGGTCACCAATAATGGTCTTTCCACTGAAAAAGGTCATGTGTAAGTGGTGGCAGCTCACTGGGTATGATGATCTGAACATCCTCTTGAAATTGTGGTTGCCCTCATTCCATTTTCCTGGCTGACTGTGTCCTTTCTGGAATGGGATAACATTGCAGTAATTTTCAGATAAAGGAATAGAGCAGAATGTGCTTCTGAGATAGGTAATGCACTTTTAAAAGCAGAAGCAGATTCTTCTGGATTCGTAAACAGTAAAAAGAAAATGTCCACTATCTCTACATGACAACCTCTTTCAGGGCTGTCATTAGTCTTTCACTGCTAAGTTGTTAACTGGAGCATCGAACCGGGCTCTTCTTTCATTTTGCAATATTTCAAATATAGAAAGGTGCTTGAAAATGGCTCTGAAATACTTAATTTTCTTCCCATTGCTAAGTTTTGCTATACTGAGACAGATAATTTATGCTACGATTTTTAAAAATTCATAATGTTTGCACATCTACTGATGGATTGTTAGCACTGGTATGTACTATCTGCTGAAGTCTTTTTTCTTTTGAGAATTTAGTTCTCACCTCACAACTCATTAATCTTGTCCCTCACAATTTCAAGATTTGCCTGATTTTGAAAATTGTTTTTGGTTGCCCTTGAGCAATAATCCTATTTATTTCCTGTGATTTATTTTCACAGGGAACATTTCCCCCATGTTAGCTCTCAGTGTTTTTGTTGAAATGTACTCTTTAAATGATTGAATTACTGATATTTCCCCATGAATTCTAGAAAAATAGTAATACACAGGATTTTATTTTTGTCCTTAACCGGAATGATGTATTTAGTTAAGAAGAGAGTACAAGTTAAACTTACATTCAGGCTAGTGGCATATTCAGAAGATCAGGCAGTCAGTTGGTTGCAGATGATCTTAAAAGGGTAGAGTGAGTGTCTGTTACTTAAACTATAGGAATAATTGATTTTTCACTTTCCCTTTCTTAATCTTTTTTTGATGAGTTTAGTCATTTTAACCCTACCAACAAGCTGTGTTAGTTTTTTCTCATGTCTGAGTGAAAATATTTCACCTGACTTTCTTTTCTTTCTTCATTATCTAATTGAATTGTGAAATAATGTGAATGAACAGTCAACCTATTATTGGTGTGTGGGATGGTTTAAAGGCTTTTTCTTCCTATCTTTTCCTCTTTCTTCTAACAATATGTATGGTAACTCCCCACAACTGGCTAGATCATTGATCCAGATCTCGTTGAAAATTATCCTTCCTAATTAAGAATGTCTGCACTGAAGCCCTTCCTGAATATAGCTGTACATCCTTAGTCTGAATTATCTTCACTAAGGAGGGGTTAAGCTTCTGTAATGTGGAAAGCAATGAAAAGCTACCTTTATATAAATATATGTGAATGCCGTATTTCTAATGGTTAGAACTTTCTGCCTGGTTACCAGGAAACTTAGTTTTACTTGAGGTTGAAATGCAGTAATTATGCTATTTCACAGTTAGCTTATTATTATTACTTGTTTATTTACTGTGCCAGGTACAGGGCGGAATGCTTTTCATGAATCACCTTGTTTAAATCTCCTAATGGCTCAGTGAAGCATTTATCTCCATTTTACAAATGAGGAAATTGAAGCTTAGCTTAAATGATTTGTTCAAGGTCACACAGTAAATTGATTTGTGGTTTTAACTCGGGTCTTCATGACAGCCGAACTGTGCTCTTAACCACTCTGTTACACTGGACCCCTTGAGACTGATTTTACATTTCTGTTTTATTGATTACGAGGCTTGGTCTTTTTTTCAAAACATCACCTCAGAGCTTCCTGGGCAAGGAACACTGACATATATTGAAATATACATGGCTTTAAACCCAGTACATGTGTGATGTTGTATGTAACAATTGGTGTCTCCACCTTTGCCATTAAAACAAATCAATTTTTTGGCCTTTGTGATCCTAAATCTAAAGAATTCTATTTCCACACCAAGCATCAAATTTCGCTTTGAAAATATGTTACACTAACATGGTGTGCCAGTGTGCGACTCTAGTGGACTAGTCTACAACTGTTTTTCCAATGGCCAAAGTATGCAGTAATGTTTCACTCTCGGTTTCTTACCTGTTTCTGTTGCAGTGGTGACTCAAACTCAGTTTTGTGTTTTAATCTTGCTTTTATTTCCTTTCTTTGTACCACCTATATAATAATCGGTTGCTAATGAGCAGCCTTTACAGTGCTGCCCCTCTCTGCTCCATGCACTCAGTCTTTCTTTTTCTTTTGCTAGTTTTGTAGTTACTTATAAATCTAAATAAGAGAATAAAAGTCAATCCCACTAGAGGATTATGAGAATTTTAGAAAACTGTCTAAAGCAAAATAGTGTAGAGGAAAGAAAAGTTAAAGTTAAGGTTGCTCCCTTTGTGTTCAGAAGGACGCTAGAGGCTCTCCATTGACCTGACAGAATCTTCCTAACAAAACACTAGACTCTTGGCCACTCACTTGACTCCACTGGGGTTGAACAATTAGCAACCAGTTAATTGTTTTTTTCTTTTGCTTCTTTTAGTTTTGCAACAGTTGCATTCCAGTAATGCAGAGTCTGCTGTTTTTTAAGTTGCTAGGGACTTGACCAGGCTATTTTCTAGTTTTTTTTCTCTATTTAGCTAGGAATATATAGGATCACCAGATAAGGTTAAGGGAAGAATGCAATGTGTAGTTTCCACTTAAAACATTAGGTATACAATTTTCTCTATTCCTGTAACACAAATTTTTACATATTAATGTGGTGAAGGTTTAATATTAAAACCCTTTTACTCCCAAAAAAGTGTTCCACTTGCCTAGAATCTGGGAGGATTTTTTATTGGTCTTTAAAGGTATGAATGGTGTGGGGTGGATGTATTTGTTCCTGTGATCTTGCACGTTGTTTATTTTGCTCAGTACCACATGTTAAACTATTATAATTTTGCATGTTTTTAAAACATCATTAGGAAATATCCAGATAGTATAGAATCACAGGTGGAAGGCAGACAGGTTGAGGATCTAGTACAGTGTTTGTGAAATGTACCAGATGATAAGAACTACTTGGATTACTTATTAAGAATAAGGTCCTAGGCCTCTCAGAGACCTCCTGAACCATTATCTTTAGGGAAGGGGTACCCTGGAGCAACAGTTACCTTGAGGTAATTCTTATGGTTAGGTGGGAGTTTAGGGAACATTGGTGCAGTCAGCCTCTAGATAAGGAAGATAAACCCTGAGATGGAGAGAAACTTAAGTCGCTTGCTTAGGGCTCTCCACTTAGCCATAGCATCTGCAGGACTGAACCCATGTCCCTGACCCTAGACTGGAGTTCCTTCCACTCCCAAAGTAGGTCCTCTGGTCCCGAGTTAAAGATACCTTTAGCTGTCACCAGGCATCATTGAAAAAGCAGATACTCAGGGTTGCCATTGGTTTTTATTTGTCTTGTGATTTTGATGTCAGTTTTTTTGATATCCTGGATTCTAGTCATCTTTGACAGGTGTTTCGTTCACAGAAAATAATTCTGAATGTGTGAACTCCGTTGATTTTAGCTTATTACTTTGAGGGTTTTTTTATTACTCTGAGTTTAGGTTAGGAGGGTATTTTAGAAAATGGATATTGAGATTACTTGAAGTGTGAGGTAGTTAAATACATGGTATTTCTTTTGCTCTAACTTGTTTTGGATAGCTGTGAAAGATGTACTTTCCTTTGGTTGTTTTCTCTAGGAGAATAATGCAGTTTGGATTTGGGACATTAGGGTGAAACTTCCTTGGCTCTTTTCATTTTGTTCATAGTGCAGG